CATCACTGTTTTGGGTTCAGGTGAACCCAAAACGGATGTATCTAATGACTTTGTTAAGTTAAAATAGTAAAAGTTGAACTGTGTTTTGATGTGCTATTTATATCTATTGGGTGAATATTATTGAATTTGTACTTTTTATACATTTTGGTGCTTTCATTGTCTCACCCTGAACTAGCCTACTGTATGTATTGGGGGAGAAAGTAAAAATATCGATTACTTGCTTCTCTAAAAGTTTATCTATACCCACATCCATGTATTATTTTGTGATAGGCATTGCCTTCATTGCAAATCGTTCTTAATCATTGTACCGACGATCTATTATAAGACTCTTGTTTCCCACAGTGTGTGCAACCACTAGTTGAAGCTTCTTAGTTTGAGGTTGAAATCCTTCAGATCTTTAAAGCTATCACATTTTTTATAATTCAACATTCACTACCGATTGCACATTAGGCATCCACTGCCAGCACGAGACCATACGTACAGAGGACTGTGATTTCAGATAGGCGAGATAAAAGTAGAGAAAGTGAATTTTTCTTTGGAATTCGATATATCTTGTAGTTAAAACAACGGTTTCGTCTGACGAGTAGGACTCATCCACCCCTGAGGCACCGCACTTGTTCAACCCCTCATTCTCACACGGGGGTGAACTAGTCACGTGCCGTGGGTCTCCCTCACCCCAGAAGGTAATTCATTAATCCAGTATATATCTAGTAATTTGAGGGAGAATTCAATTACCGCTACATGCCAGCTCGAGTAACGAGCATTCCTTATCTCGACAACAAGCATTGTGGCCGAATACATTAGCAAGGGTGGTTTAATAGGATCTCCAGTAGGTCTACTGATTTGTTCGCAATCCCTCCACAGTATAAGATTTTAAGATGGGGACTGCCTGGCTGTGATTTAATCGGAACGAAATCTGTTCGTTTTGGGGCTCTTTTCAACGTTTTTATAAAATGTAACTCTTACAAAATATTGATGAAAAGCCCTACAAACAGCCATTAAATAACGAATTCTGTTGGAGTGTAAAATGGGTTTTGAATTCTAGACTGTTTGAACTCGTTTCACGAATCCTATTATATGAGGTGGAAGTATTGGCAACTGATAGCATTTTTTTGGGTAGACAGTTTTCCCTCTAAAGTAGGTAGTTTGCTTTGGAAAACAGACTCGTAAATGCAGATGCAGCCACTAAGTTAAATTTTTCCTCCATTTATTTAGTGACATTTTTGGTGTATGTCTGTTAACACATTATCTAGAAGCTAGAGTAATTTTACCCGATTCCGATTAAATTTTGCACGAATTTGTAAAATCTGAAAGAGCTGGAACTTGGATTGAGTTCGTGAACCAGCGAAATTGGGTGATAGGAACCGGGTGTTATGGCGTTTTTCTCAAATATTTTTTTCAAAGTTTTGCTATTTAAAAATGCCTACTATATGCCCAATTTTAATTAGACCCATTTTGTAGAGCTTGATGAAACAATTAGTTTTGTAGCCTAAATTGAAGTGTTGTTGTAATAATTAAAGGATACAGAGAAAAATTCAAATAGTTCCTAAGCTATACAATTAATTACCATGTTCATCTTATGGATGAAAAGGAAACTGTTGAAGCGTGCTTGTTTAATGGATGTAGGCTACTAGTATTTTATTCAAATTTAGATGTATTTAAATGTATATGTTATTATCTTCAATGTATTGGCACATTAATCCATGTTATTGGTTTTAAAAAGGAAAGGGCCCCTTTATATGCCTAATTCACGATATCCTGCATTTATTAAAAGTTGTATAGAGGTACAGAGCTCAAATAAACTGCAGCCAGACTTAACTTGGTCAAGTAAGTAAAAACATCCACGTGCTGTTTTCCCAAATAGTACATCCCGTCAAAACCTTCCTGCTGCCTTCTTCTTCCCTGCAGCTGGTCCAATGTCAATCTTATTCAATTGCCATCTGTTAGAACAATCTGTCAACCAACTGGAACCAGGTGCTAGGAAAATATTAGAAAATTCTTAGATCATAAAAAAATCCACTAAACTTATCAGGTTGGGGGAATTTGATGTATAAATTACTCGTTCTTTAGCTCTTGTCCACTTCTTAAGAATTGATTGTTGTAATTGCACTGTGGATGGTTTGCGACACCAACACGTTACAAGTTACAATTACTTGTCGAAGGTCACCTGAGGTGTGTCCTCACTCACACTTCTCAGTCCAGATTTCAATTAAACAAAAGCCAAATAATAGGAGCCGCCCCCGCTGCCGCCCGCGCCCTGCCGCCGCCCGCGCCGCCCTCCGTGTATTGATCGGCCACCCACCGACAACGACACGTATTTTTAACGCCAAGAAATCAACTCTTACCTTGCGTCGTAGCTACTTCTCAATGGAGCCCTCAGTTCTGCTCTGGATGTCGTTTACAGCACTTATAAGCCTACACTTTGATGATTTCTATGGCTGAAAAAATTATTTGTAACTCACAAAAATGTAGAATTCAAATTGTCAAGCCACACTAGTCATTATGAAATTTGAATGAAACAATTGAAAACAAATGCAAACTCAAAGACCGTAAATGATTTCTACAAAATTGGTTAACATATTTTTCTTAAAAAAAAATGCTGATTTATACATTTCATCTTTGCGTTCTTAATAGTTTTACAAGGAACAGTTATAATGAGTCCTAATCTAAAATTTTGTCAGTGGAAAAACTTTCCTCTTTTCAAAAACAAAAAAGGTGGAAGTTTACTTATTTTATTACGTTTGTATTTTTGTCCCGTGGCTCAGATATGATGTGCTCACTTGAGTAATGAGCGATTCACGAGTGCATGATGGAACTTGTGAGTAACGCGGATGACCAAGATGAAAATTGTTAAACGTGCCTGATTGAGCACTGGTGCTATGGGTTGTTAATTACTGGTCCTGCGACCATTCATCTTAAGTTGAAACTGTAGAGGTGTCTTTATTTATTATCTATCTAGACTCTAGTGGTAAGACGTACTAAAACTGTCAGTGCTCAATGTAAACCCTAAACCAAAACTTACGCTTCTCAAAATATTATATGAACTTTAGGGCGTTCACCCTACAAACTAGAAAAGCTAGGATAAAGCAAGTTTACAAAACAGTATTAACGAGACTCATACTGAAGTCAAAGTATGCTTACCTCCTTGCCACATTTAATCTGCAAGTCACTTACGTTTCCGTGTTTGGTTACACCATGTCCAATATTTCTTTTATGTGGAACAAGAAGCTAACTGCTTTATTTTAAACTAGCTGTACCCGCGGGCTTTGCCCCATTTTACTTCGTAAGTGAGCTCGCTCGCATGGCTCAATCACGTCCTGGTTGAAGTTCGTTTGCTAAGCTCACTCACCTTTAGGTTGGAGCTCGTTCGCTGCGCTCACTTGCCTTCAGGTTAGCTCGTTCCCTACGCTAACTCGCCTCCATGTTGAAGTTCGTTCGCTACGCTCACTCACCTTTTGGTTGCAAATTTGCTGTTGTCATAAATAAAAAAAAAATAATAGTGCTGAACCCTGTTGGTAATCCTTGTAACTTTAATGCTATTGAACATCATAGAACAGAACCAACTTGTTTAATTGAAACAGCTGTTAAGATTCATTAATTCCATTTAAATATGAGTACTCATAAGGTTAACATGGGAAACTCCAGAGCCACTGGGGCGGAGCCCGAGAGTCCGATCAGAATAAAAACAACTTAGTTTTCCTATTTAATGTCTAAAGAATCAGTGTACCAAATTTCAGCTTCCTAGGTAAATGGGAAGTGGGAGAATTAGTGATGAGTGAGTGAGTGAGTGAGTGAGTGAGTGAGTGAGTGAGTGAGTGAGTGAGTGAGTGAGTGAGTGAGTCAGTCAGTGAGGGCTTTGCCTTTTATATATATAGATGAATGCAGATTTTCCTTTTCTGACTCAATTGTCTGTGCTCATACTGTATAAATGGTAAATGCCTATGTTGATAGTGATAATATAAACTAAGGGAATTTGTCGCGATGACTAGGGTGGGCTGGGGGTTTTCTTTTCCTAATCGAATGGTATCGATTACAAATCTCCCAAACGAGTCAAATGAATTGATTAATACATTTTGAAATATCAATGAATCAATGAAAATCAATGATGAATGGTTAGGGTTGATGAGCAGAATTTTTAATGTTTATAAGCTTCATGAAACAGCTAATGAGCTTAGGGTCATCCTTTTACATTAAAAACAGGGGATGAAGAAAAAGAAGGATCAAAGTTGAACAGCTGTGTTTATTATTATTATTATTATTGTTAAAAATTAATTATTTTAATTTTTATTTCAGTATTGTTTTCAGTTTGAGAAAGAGCGTGACCGTGACTCGATTCTATTTCTTTTCAATGTTATTTTGTTTTAAATAATTAGGTAATTTAATTAAAAAAGTTTAATAAAATGTTTTAAATAATTAACAATACTAAGTAAATCGTAGAATAACAACTGTTATTTTACTACAAGATTTTAAGATTAAATCTCAGCGGGACTTTTCCCTAGCCTATGCTATAATAATAATATTTATGTAGGTTTAAAATATTTTGAAAGGTTAGATACTTAACTAATTGTTTTAGGCCTAATTAAAGTTTATCTAAAGAAAAAGTTAGGGCCTATGTTCGAATTCATTTGTGTAATAATAATTAACTTACTCTATTATAAATAGAACGGCTGCACTTTACTTGACGTCCTACACTCATTCGATTGTTTTTTTCTCGATTCGATATTTTCATTCGATTGTTTCATTCGATATATCGTTTGGTTAGTTAGGTTAGGTTAACCTTACCTAACTAACCAAACGATATATCGAATGAAGCAATCGATTAACCGATATATCGATCGATATTTTTATTCGAATGAGTGTAGGACGTCAAGTAAAGTGCAGCCAATAGAACTACTTTAAGGTTGTGCTTTGTTAACGTTTTTCTAGATTTAGTATTAATTATTAAGTTCAAAATTCAGTGACTTATATAATTAGGCCTAAGTTACTGTATGTTGTTTCAGTGTCAGGCCATGACAGGATATCCGCCACAGAAATGCCCCAATATGTCCACAAAGGTGCGGCATGGGCGATGTATGGGAGTGGTGCTATCCGAAGTCCCCCTGCTGCAAATGGAAATGGCCGAGGAGGTTTGTGGATCTTATGTCTACTTAAGCAAACAACACCCCCCCCCCCCCCCCCCAATAAAAACGTATATAGGAGGTAGTCACTGCCGGATTTCGGTAAAATCCCTGTGGCTCCTTTTACGATCACAAGGGCCACTATGTTTTTTACCATCACAATTTTTTGGAACAAAAGTTTCTTTGCGAACCAAAATTGATTAGGCCTAACTCGACTTCGGGCAACGATCAAAATCTCCTGTGATAGCAGGAGAGGTTCACAATCTCACAGCGACCGTGGCTAGCGATGATGATGTCCCCTCGATTTCTGGATATTTTTCGCGATTTCTCGGTGATCCAGGTGGCAATGATAACGTTTGTTATTATTATGTACTTTAACTAATTTAATACAATTAAATTGTGCACATAATGTTGACTGTGAAGTGTATATTTATTACCAAATAACTTCACATAAACATAAATAAAAACAACAACAAATAATTAACTGATCAGCTGGATTAAATAGGGACAGTCTTTGGAAATATGTATCAACTCTCCCCGCCTAAATTTCACATTTTAGAAGCTGATCGATATGCCTCCTCCACACAGTTCCGTCTTCCATTTTGATTTGGTATAAGAGGGTACCTTCTCTTCCAATGATAGTTCCAAAGCACTATTTCTGTTTAGGACTTGAGTAGTCTCTAGCCTGTACACTGTCCCCCATTTGAAATTGTCTGCGCACAGCCATTGCACTTCTTGCTGACTTGTTACATTGAGGAAGCAATAATCCTAAGTGCATTCTTATCTCTCTTCCATACATTAGGCCTAAACTGTAAGCATTTGACCCGGTTGAGTTAGGGGATTGACGAAGTTGCATGAGAAGCCTATATAATTTAAGATCTAGTTTACCTCCTTCTTCTTCAATTGCCTTTAATGATTTCTTTTTGTTTGAACATATCGTTCGGCTTGCCCGTTCGAGGAAGGATGGTACGGTGCAGTAGTTTTGTGCACCACACCATTAGCAGACAAGAACTGACGGAATGTGCTAGAAGTAAATTGACTCCCATTGTCTGATACTAGAACTAAAGGTAGACCGAATGTAGCAAAAGTTTTCCGAAGTTCCCTGATACACCATTCTGTAGACGTGTTTTTAGTTGGGATCACTTCAATCCATTTGGTGAATGCGTCTACAATAATGAAATACCATTGTCCTTGCATTGGACCAGCAAAGTCTATGTGTACTCTTTCCCAAGGTCCTTGAGGAGTCAGCGATGGATGATTGGGTTCTTTAGCAGGTTGGTTTTGTTTTAAGCGGCATTGTTTACAGGTGCGTACCAGTTGTTCAATGTCCTTGTCGATGTTTCTCCATGTGCAATAGCTTCTAGCAAGAGCTTTCATTTTATCCATACCTAGATGTCCAACGTGTAGTTCTTTAAGCACAGCATGGTGAAGAACTTCTGGCATTATTACCCTATTACCCTTAAATATACATCCATATTGCAGTGTCGTCAATTCATTGTCATGAAAACCCAGATGTTCAACAGACTCCCCTGTCTGAAGGGCACGTAACACTGATTGTAGGAACTTATCTTCAGCAGTTTTTCTAGATATGATTTGACTTTCTACTAGAAACGAGTCCAGCTGGCTGATTTGAAATAGACTACAGTCATCCACATGATTGATTGAAGTGTGTTCAGTTGGGAATCGTGATAAAAAATCAACATTCACATGGTCTGTAGTTTTCCTGTATTCGATTTGATAGTTGAATCCAGATAAGAAGTGTGCATAATTGATGTGCATAAGTTGCTGAGATTGATGGCAAAGTCTTGTTTGGATGAAATATTGATACTAACGGTTTGTGATCAGTCACTAGAATGAACTTACGTCCGTAACAATAGGGGAAAAACTTTTTATTTCACCCCAATCTAATTTGACTTCCCTAAGCCAATCTCTACCAAATATTGCATCGAGATTTTGTTTGATCAAAAATAGTTTCCCGACAAATCTTTGCTTTTTGTACATGCAATTCACAAACGTTACACCTCTTGGCTTAATAGTTTCCCCTGTGTATGTACGAAGGTCAACGTTGGTTGAAAATACCTTTTATGGAATTGACATAACTTCTTAAAGTCTTTGTAGGACATAGTGCTGAGGGCTGCACCCGTGTCTGTGTGTATGGTTGAGTTCCATTGGTACTGTTTTGCCCTCAAATCTTCATGTTTACGATAAATTTGTCATTGCGTCTACTGTTGATGACATTAATGTGAAACTCGTTCTCACTACTTTCTTCAGTTTCATATTCTGTTTGATGATTTCTGTACTTTGTTTGCATCTAAGTACACAAAATTACAAAATTAAACAGTTAAAAAAAGAGTTAAAGTTTGATTTAATAAATAAGAAAAAAAAATATTTTGATAAAAAGATTTCAGAAGCTACAATCATAGTTAGATCAACTTGGAAAATAATCAATTCTGAGATTAACAACAAAACAAAACCAAACAGTAACATGCAAATCAGATCAAATGGTAAGCCTGAGTCGGATCCTGTTTTGGTTGGAAATGTAATAAATGATTATTTTATAAATGTAATTGATAACTTAGTTCTTCCAAACATCAACAACAATAAACTTCAACAATTGAACTTCTTTGATGATCCACCTAAACCCACAAGCTACTTCAAATTCAAGCAGGTTGATGAAAGGGATGTTGAAAAAATAATAAGGTCCTTAACCAATAAACTTTCAACAGGTATAGATGAAATTCCAGTTGCTGTAGTTAAACAGGCTTTCCCACTTATCTCAAAACCATTAACCCATATTATTAATTCTTCTTTAATTTCCGGCCATTTTCCTTGTAAATTAAAAATTGCTAAAATTGTGCCAGCCTATAAAAAAGGGGATGCATTCGAACCTTCGAGCTATAGACCAGTATCATTATTACCGGGTTTTTCAAAGATTTTAGAAAAAGTGGTGTATAACCAACTGCTAAACTTTTTAGAAAGTAATCTGTTGTTTGACAATGAACAACATGGTTTTCGCCCTGGTAAATCTACGATTACTGCGGGAATAAACTTTATTGAATCAATTATAAACTCAATCAACAAAAATGAAAAAGTAATTGGGATCTTCCTTGATTTTTCAAAGGCATTCGACAGTGTGACTCATGATAATCTGCTTGATGTTCTTTCTAGTTTGAATATTGATAATAAGGAGCACAAGTGGTTTTCTTCTTATTTAAAAAATCGGCAACAATGTGTCCAAACTCAACATAAATTCAATTATCCCAATAGTAAATACACTTATACTCAAAACTATTATTCTGATTTTAACACAATAAAACACGGGGTTCCTCAGGGATCCATCCTAGGCCCTCTATTATTCCTTTGTTACATGAGAGGATTGCCAAAAGCTGTAAATGCAGGAGGTTCTGTATGCCTGTATGCTGATGATACCAGTATCATAGTTACAGGGGAATCCCAGGAAGAAATAGAGCTTAAAACATTTTTAAATCTTGTATCAGTCAGTGAATTTTCAAACAGTAAAAATCTTTTAATTAATTCAAATAAATCAAATTTTTTATCATTCAATACAAAACAGGCTAGATTAAAATTACAGTACAACCAAACGTTCAGCTAGATGGATCAAAAATTATTCAAGTAAACCATACAAAATTCCTTGGATTGATTCTAGACGAGAATTTGAGTTGGGATAAGCATGTTGATCATGTAGTAAATAAAATGTCAACTGGCATACATGCTTTGAGACAAATGTCTCATGTATGCAATATTAACACTCTCAAATCAATCTACTGTATTTTGCTCTGATCAACTCGCATATGGCTTATGATATTGCTATATATGGCGGGACTAGCAATAAAAACCTTAAACAAATTCTGAAACAGCAAAAGAAAGCATTACGAATTATCTTTAATATAAAATACCCCCGCCGCAGCAAACCTGCAGACTAAGCGAATTTCCATTTCCCTGAATGGATTTACACTAAAATGTCTCCTTAAAATTATCACATTTATTCCCTATTTAAATAGAATCAGTTTAAAACATACTTAGGTTTGCTGCAACAGGGAGGGTAAAAGTGTTTTTTATGTAAAATGTTAATAGTTAGTAAGAAATAAAAACATTTTCCAAATTTGGGCAAAATATGTTTATAAACAAGCAAACTACAACAGTTTACTTATTCTCCATAAGAATAACATGGGAATTTTAAATTTACAATTTTTTGGAATTTTCTCCGTAACTATTAGGCGCATTATAACGCTTCAATATACTAAATTATTTGTTTTTTAAGCTCTACAAAATAGTTTCAAAAGAAATTGCAAAATTTTATGTTTTTTGGGTCAAAAATGGGAAAAACCCATTTTTTCCCCATAAAAGCTCCCATAAACCCCCGTTCCCATGGTCCGATCATGCTGGTTCGCGAACTCGTTCGAATAAACGTAGGTTTACACGTTTGTACCAAATTTCATCAAAATCGGATCATTTTTGCTCGAGTTATTGCGCTAACGGACACATATATATATATATATATATGAATTTGAACGAAAAAAAAAATCGGTCCCGGGTCCAGGTCTTACCGTGAGTACTACGGTAATAGCTTATTCCCTATATGGGAAATTCGCTAAAATAGAAAATCCACAAAACCATATTTTTCCAAATTAGGAATCATGACGGTTTATGACCTATATATATTTGAAATCATTTTACATGTAAAAAAATTAAACACACAAAAATACAGTAAAAAATCACATACATACAACTTGAGAAATAACAGATATGTAGAACCGCATAAATTACAGATTTTTGAAAATAAAACAACTTTTATTGGTACTAAATTTCTTTATAATCTACCTAAGAATATTCTTTGTGAAGAAAAATATACCAGTTTCAAAACCCACCTTAAAGAATACCTATTGACTCATCCTATCTTTTCAAGTAAAGATTTTTTTTAATTCAAGGAATGTAAAATAATAAAAAAAAGAATTATTAGTGTCATTGTCATACAACACCATAAAACAGTTTTATTTGTAACCATCATATTTTAATTAAGGACATTAGTTATAAGAAATGTGACTCTATTCAATGTATTCATGTAAATACAAAAAAATGAATAAAGATTATTTGATTTGATTTGATTTGATCTGCCTTTTTGTTTGCATGCATACACTTTTACTTGCAATGTGTCCCACTTTGTTACACCTTCGACACGTTGCTTCCTGAAAACGACACTCATGTGCCCGATGAGATGGTGAACTGCAGCTATAGCATTTTCCTTTGAGCTTTTCAAAAGCTGATTTGAAATTAGGGCTGAAATTAGGGCTGTTCGGTGAGGATTTCAGTTGTTTTGGCTTAACACTTTTTTCGTTATTATTTTTATACTTAATCTGATTCAATTCACTTTGTTCCTACGTATTATGGCTTACAGTCTTACTTTCTGATTTTGCAAGTTTCATTGCTGAAGCAATGTTCACTAGATCTTGATACATTCGTTTTTCACGATCTTGTAATAGTTTAGTTAGAATGTCTACGTCTTTCAACCCCCGGATAAACTGTAGTTTTAGAAATAGGTCTGCAACAGATTTACCACAACAACAATGAAATTCACAATTTACAGTCATCTTCTTAAGAGCAACTGAAAACTCATTCACTGTTTCATGTCCCATTTGATTCCGCGAAATAAATTTCTGTTGTAAAGCCCATTGGCTTGGCTGAGGATCCACTAATTCTTTCAAGAGCTGCTCTAAGTCATCATATTGTTTGTCCAAAGGGTCCTCAGGAGTACAAACATCATAGTGTTGATGTAGTTGAGGTGTTAGGGCATGTAGTAGTGTATATACTTTTCCTTTATTATTAGGTTCTTGGTTATTTAGATACAAACATACTTCCAGTCTTCTTATGAAGTTTGTGATAGTTTCTTCGGGGTGATATGGTGTGAAATTAATTCTCCCTGATGTGTTACATAAATGTGTACTGGGTGATGAAGATGAAGAGGTGTTAGAGTTTTTCTGTTCAACAGCTAGCAACATTTCTTGAAGTGTAGTTGTAATCTGTAAATATTCATCTTCCATATTGCATCTGCATTCAATTTCTCTACTAAGCTCACCCAAATCTGTGCGTGAATCTATTTCATCTTGTATTTGTTTGTACTTTGTCCAGCATTCGGTAACAGTTTTGAGCTTTACATTTAGTTCTGTCGCCGTTGGGTTGCCTTTTAATAATCTGTTTGCTCGTGTAAATTGGCCTTTGACCATCGTTCTTGCTTTGATTAGTTTCTGTAGTGTCTGTTCTTCAGTCATTTTGTTTTCCTCGTCGCCAATATTATGTACTTTAACTAATTTAATACAATTAAATTGTGCACATAATGTTGACTTTGAAATGTATATTTATTACCGAATAACTTCACATAAACATAAATAAAAACAACAACAAATAATTAACTGATCAGCTGGATTAAATAGGGACAGTCTTTGGAAATATGTATCAACGTTTTGTTATCACCAGAGATGTAGACGATTTTGTGCCGATCAGAGGTGGTGATGATGATGTTCCGTGATGGCATGAGATGTTCACTATCTTGAAGCGACTTTGAACAGCGAAGATCATGGCCCCGTGATTGCGGGAGATTTTCCCGATTTCATGGCAATAGGAGGGGGCAATGAGAACCCAATGAGAAGTTATTTCGTGATCACTGGAGATATTCACGTTTTTGTAACGATTGCGGGTGGCAATGATAGCCTAATGTCCCCATTATTGCCGAAGGTGTTCACGATTTCATCACGATTGTGGTGCTGTTCGGGTTAATTTAGCCTAGGGCCGCAACAGTAAGGATTATCTCTGGATACATGAAAAATTTGAGTAGGCCTAAATAAAAATGCCTAATAACGAACATCTACCTGACGAGATAAATCAAGTAGTGGTATATTGTGCAAGGGTCTCCCGTATTAGAATATAAGATTTACCTTAAATCTTTACCCTTAAAATCCTATTTGGCAATGCACTTAAACTTTTACTTACTTACTTACTGCTGTGGCCACTGGTACCCTAGATGGTACTTGGCCTCCCCAACACACGGCCTCCATAGGTCTCTGCTTCTTGCATCTTCCTTCCTTTTTCCTAGCTTCCTCAGGTCTTTCTCCACTTGGTCGAACCATCTAAGTTTCGGTCTTCCAAGGGGTCTTCTACCTTCTGGGTTATTCCTCAAGATGTTCTTTGATAGGGAGTTGTCATCTTTTCTTAGAATATGCCCTGCCCATCTCAGTCTTCTGCTCCTTTTAACCTTTAGAATTGAATAACTTTTGTTCAATGCCTTTTGTCTCCTTCCTTTATAGTACTGAATATTGGAGACAGGCCCTCAGGCTCCCCCTTTGCTTGGCGCCCTACGCGACCGCATTCTTTGGTTACCCCTTAAACCGGCCCTAGTGCCTTGTCTATCTTGGCTTCTGACTAGGACCAGCTGTTTTTGGCACACACCACTTTATATAAAACCGTATGCTCAAGGGCAGCTGGCTACAGTTTCCTACTGATTTAAAAATCTACAAACTTAGAACAACTTAATTAGCCTACTGCAGGCTTAGAAAGTCTACTGCCTTATAACACACAAGCAGCTGCTATAGGCCTAGTTTTTCCCTAATTCTGAATCTAAATTAGCAACACATTACACATGTTAGGCTATCATTAAAAAAACTGATTTTGTAACTGAATTCATCAAACACAACAGTGATGGTCTGATTTTAGGCCACTGAGAATAAAGTTCCCTTGATCTCAGGGAAAAAAACACACGATGCTCATGGTCTACTTTAACTTAAATTTTATTTATCAACATAGATTTGTTTGTTTTAAAAAAGAAAACAAACATTGCTATAATGAGACTCAATTTTAAAATACAGTACTGAACACCTTTATTACTCTACTTAACTACAAAGCTACACATAATTTTACATTTAGTTTCACCTTGCATTGGTATTCAGTATAAAATACGCTGACTTCAAGTAAGTACCTAAGTTATAATGACAAAAGCCGTTCTGCAGTTGTTGACTACTTTAAACTGAGTAAATTACCGATAATATAAGAATTGTATTGACGATTAACATGAGACTGCTCTAGGAGTATTAAGATATCTGTATTAAAAAAGTAGGTAAACTATTGGTACTTTAAGTTCCAATAAAATCACTCTAAGGTATTTAAACTCTAATTTTCAGGAACACACCAACAAGAGCCTCCTCAACACCCACCGTGGCGCCCGCCAAATCACCAGTATGAGAAATGGCTGAAGCACCAACACAACCCTCACGCCTCCATTGGAATCCAGCCTCCAGGCATACCTCGGTGGCCATTGGAGTGGCCTCCCCACCCTGGGTCTGGACCCTTCGAAGACGCTGGAATCCCACGTAAGTTGAATCATCCCGGAGAGATGTGTGATGATTACTAAGGTGATTTTTGAGAATGGCAGATTGGATGTCAATAGATAGATGTATTAATTAGGCCTACTTGTCTTTGCAATTAGATGTATTATACTTCCGCTGTTTCTGATATTAGCCTGCTCCATTGTCGGATGCATAGTGTTACACTAATCTAGATGTTTTTATATACCAGTACGGTACCTATAGCACAAAAAGACAAATTGTGTAGGCCTAAACGGTTAAATAAATCACATACTGGTACAAACACAAGACAAAAACATTGAAGAATGTGCGCAGCTTAAACTGTCATTAGACTGATCGAACCTTTGCTTTCAAATATTTTGTAAAGATACTTGTAAAGAAAAAAACAACCAACTAAGTGCCCAAGAGTGAGGGTTTCTTTCATATTTTAGCACACACAGTGGCAGTTCCAAGGGGGGCCCTAGAAAAATAAGTTTTTAAGTTTTAACATAAATTTTGTTTTCAAAATTACACAGATGTTTTTAGACACAGTTCTAGACGTTATAGGTTAAAAGGCTTTAGAAAGAAACCAAAAGGGGTTAAAAACCAAATTTCAGGGAGAAGACCCCCTGAACCCCCTTCTTTCCTGGGAAACCCCAAACCCCCAGTAGCCCCCCCCCCCCCCTTTGTAGCCTATGCCACTGAGCACTCATGGTAGGGGTACTTACCGAAAACAAAAGTTCAGCTGTAGTGTCTTGGTCTGATAAGATAATACTGGCTCAAAATTGGCTGCCTCCAAATACTTATAACTGCACACACCAGCTTATTTGCCCATGTGACTTTTACCATATAATTAGAGGCCTACTTCGCTTTCTGTAGTCCAGTAGGTCTTGTTTGGTCTACAAAAGTTAAGGTGCGATTTGAATAAGTACTTTAATTAAGCCTACGGCTTTAAAACAGTTTTTGTATCACAGAATCTTTGATACCGCTGCCATGCGGTGGAGCATGCAACAAGAACGAGTTCCTCTGTCCGATGTCATGCACTTGTATACCAAACTCCTGGCGGTGTGACGGTGACCCGGACTGTGTTACTGAAGAAGACGAGTTAGACTGTCAACTGACTGAGGCTGAGTGTGACGAGGAGGCTGGTTATGTGAGGTGTCCACGGACCCGCAAGTGTATCCGCAGAGAATGGCTGTGCGACAGCCATGATGACTGCGGCGACTTCTCTGACGAGACTCACTGTGGTAAGTTAACTGGCATGTTCGAGTGCTAGTTACAGCAATGAGCTGAACGTTACGATAAACCAGGTTATGTGCTTATAGGTAAAGTTCAGACCACATGGCCCTTTGTTATATTTAATTTTAAAATCTATAATTATTCTCAACTCACTGTCACATTTAAATACATATTTGACCGCACCTACAGATTCTTGATATTTAGATATTTGACCTCCCTCTCTATCTAGATCTTTTACATCTCTCTCACACTGCTAGTTTTCTCTACAAACCTGCCCTCACTCGGGTTCACCATATTTTCCTTCGCCTCCTCTATAGCTCAAAGAAATTCCAATTACTCGACTAAGACCATCTTCTTAATTGTCAAAATGGGTACAGTCATAGCCTCCTCTAATACAAGGCCTGGTGTGTGGCCACGTCACCCCTATTGCCATGGTATAACAGAAATTACAAAAGTGTAAACATAAACATTGGCTATTCTCTCTATCATAAATTAGTGCAACAGCTATTTCGGTTTGACGCAGGGCAGCGGTGTTGTCACTTTTGTCTCGCCGCGGCCTTGTATTAGAAGGGGGTTTGGTACAGTTCATCTAATAACCCTACTTTTAAATTTACAAATGATTTGGATGAAGTTCTCTGTTGATTCTTCTCCTTCAATATTCTTCTTGACATTAGCCCGATGTCTGTACCAATTTGAGAACAAGCCATTACTCGATTAGAATACTGTAATTCTAATTAAAAACTTTATAAATTCAAACTATTTTTTCTTTAATACGCTTAATAAGCAATCACACAAACACAAAGCAATTTTTATATGCCACAAGCAATTCCAAAAAAAAATTCTTTGGTGGTAGAGGGAAAGAGACGTAGAATAAGGTGGATAGATGAAGGATGTAGAGAAAAGAGTTGTGAGAGGGCAGATTGTAAAAGAAGAGTCGGAACAGTATAGAAAGAGGAGAATGTGGAGAAACGTCTAATCCACGTTCGTATCCACAAATTATCAAAATGGAAGGAAATATGGAATGAACATATGAAAATCAAAATCAAGATAAAATTGAAGTGTTGATAGAATTGAAACTGTGTTTGGCAGGAGTGAACCCAGTAAACTGTACCAGTGCTGAGTTTGAGTGTGCCAATGGTCTCTGCATCCAACCAGACTGGGTGTGTGATGGAGAGAATGACTGTAGGGACTACTCGGACGAACTGAACTGCACTCGCAAAACGTAAGTGGCAACAACTATCTCAATAGTTTGTAATAATTAGTTTTATGGAGAATAAGAAATTACCATGTGCCTTTTTTTCTGTATATTCTCTTGTGGTGTTTGGTTTACAAGAGCTCCAAAATTTAGCAACAAGATTACAGTGACACGTATGTGGTAAGAACTTTAACTAAAGAACGTATCAACTGATAAGAATTTTTATCTTTTTACTGTTGTTAATATCAAGTCATCACGGATATAAGGTGGCCGAATATGTTTTTTAGGTTATAAAAATTACTTTTCTAGTATCGAACAATAGGACTTATGAAAGTAGATTGATATGTCATTTAAAATTCTAAGTTTTTTATCACCTATTGGGGGTTTCCATTAATCTAATCTCTCAAAAAAGGATTTATTATGAAAAAATAACTGTTTTATTCTTTGTGACATTTTCTGTGATTCTGTAGTCGCTAGACTCTTAAACCTCTCAGTTGATACAGCTAAACTCTCTACTAATCCAATTTCCAAACAAAACACGTCTTATTCACCCACACAGCTTTTTCTTGAAATATATTTGTTTTGGAAAAAATGTACCGTATTTTGTGGAGGTCTATAAGTCATCCAGATCTCTCTTTTGAATATTATTAGAAAGAGGTCTTCAATTCGAAATAAGAAGTCGCTTTTCTACATTCTTCTAACATAAACCTCCAAAGAACATTTTGTCAGTGAAGGTGAAATATTCTGATTATTGTGATTAGTTTAGTGTAAGTTTTTGTGTTTCTTGTGCCAGTTAACTCTTATCCATTTAGCAAAACCTGCTATCCCACCGTCAAACCTTACCTTCCCCTTGTTATATCATTCATAGTTAATTTAGATAATTAGTGAATGCAAAATGTGTTCTCAGTGATTGCTCAGAGCTTGAGTTCCGATGCTCAGATGGAAGCTGCATCTCGTTGTCGTTCAGGTGCAACTTTGAACAAGACTGCTCGGATGGGACGGATGAAGCTGAGTGTGGTACGTTTACATCAGAATAAAGTAAAAGAGAAATACATTTTCGAGAAATTAGAGGTATATGTGAAATTAATTGACCTTTTTTATGAAGGAAGAAACTGTTCATGCTTTTTCTCGATTTTGGCCAAACTCAATTTTAATTGTAATGTTACTCCTTAATAATTGATAGTATTACATATAAGTAATATTATATCTGTATTCCATTATTAGCTAGAATTTTCAATAGTAAAACTAAGTATTAAATGCAACTTTATCTTAAACTAGTTGCTTTGCCTGTGCTTTGTGACGCTGAAGGATACAGGAGAGAGTATCGTGGTTCTGTATATGTCTTACACCTGCCATATGGGTTACAGAAATTTAACCACGGTATGTTTCAAAATTCATTTACTACCTATTTCAAAATTCTCATCAGTTAATTGTTAATTTCAATCAGCTGTTTTGCATAGTTCAAAAAATAACTGCACCAAAATGTGAACAAAGTACTGTAAATATGTAGACATGGTGTTTCTTTTAGTGTCAACTGTATTTTGCTGCTACGTAGCAATGGTCATACAGCGGTCATACTGTAACGTAGCGTTTCAGTGAAATTCTGCTGAAAGAATCGTTTGCTAAAAAACTGATTGGTATTTAAAACATTATGTGCAGTAAAACAGCAAGGAGAAATTGAGTTATTCAATGTTCGGTTTAGTTTAATCTTGATTTGTTCTCCAGTTTTTCTGAAGTAGACGGGATGAATTTCCATCTTGGGCATCACCAACAGACACTCAAACATTTAGATAAGGCTTGTTTGGACCTATTATACTATGTCTCAATCATGACAAACAAATACTTCTTGATTAATGTAGGCATTTTGGATAAGGGATAGTTTACCTGAGAAAACTAGATTCCAGCGACTGATGAATACTAAAATACCCCCGCCGCAGCAAACCTGCAGACTAAGCGAATTTCCATTTGCCTGATTTGATTTTCAATTAAATCTATTCAAATAACATTAGGTTTAACGAGTACCTAGGTTTGCTGCCTACAGGGTAATAAAGTGTGTTTTTCAGTAAAATATTAACAGCTTAGTATAAAATAAATCGATTGGCCAAGTTTGATCCAAATATATGCATAAACAAGCAAACTACAAAAGTTTACTTATTCTCCATAAGAATAACATGGGAATTTTTAATTTATAATTTTCTCCGTAACCAATAACTATACAAAAACACTTCAATATACTGAATTATTTGTTTTTTTAAGCTCTTCAATATGGTATAGAAGAAATTTGGGAAATTTTATGTTTTGAGGGTCAAAAATGAGAAAAACCAATTTTTACCCCATAAATCCCCCCATAAAACCCAGTTCCCATGGTCCGATCATGCTGGCTCGCGAACTCGTTCGAATAAACGTAGGCTCACAAGTTTGTACCAAATTTCATCGAAATCGGATCATTTTTGCTCGAGTTATCGTGCTGACGGACACATATATATATATATATATATATATATATATATATAAATATATATATATATAAATATATATATATATATATATATGAATTTGAACGGATGGTGTTTTTGGCTTCTAGAAACATCAAAATGAAAAAGTAAATCGGTCCCGGGACTAAGTCTTACCATGAGACCTACGGTAATAGCTTATTCCCTATAGGGAAATTCGCTAAAAATTCACATAACATAACACCTATATTTCGTCCCAATACAACTTCTTGCAGTAAATTGAAGAGAAATTAATCTTGATCAAAGAGATTCTCTGATTACGTTTTCTGATCTTTTATTTATGTATGAGCCTCTGGATTCTAATTTTCTCAGGTAAGCTAGCCAAACTTTATCCCTTTTCAAAACAATTCCTAACCAGCCATTATGTATTCCTTAAAAATATAACTTGATTTATTTTGTGAATTTCTGTCATCACAGAGGTAGAAGTGCCTACATGCAGTGAGGGAGAGTTCCGATGTTCGTACCCTCGCTGTGTGAGACAAGAGTTCCGCTGTGACGGAGACGATGACTGTGGCGACTGGAGTGATGAAGACGGCTGTGAGACAGTCGCCGAGGGCTCCTGCGCCAACCATCAGTTCAGGTTAGAACAACATGTAGAGTGAAAGCTATTGTGTTAACAAATTCGCTATAGAAATCGCCGTCCCAATCAGTGGCTGTCAGACCTTGGATGGACACATGCTAGACACTAGATGAATGACATAAAACATAAAAATATCCGTACAGCTCGAACTGACTTTAGTCTCTTTGTTTTTAATGAAAATAGTGTCAACAACATACAAGGCCACAGATTCTTGTGGAGTCCGAGTCACATTTTCAAAACAAGCTTATCGGTTATTTGCTTATATCTATTAACTTTACCTTGTCAAATTTATCATTTTCTTCCACCTCCATTATTTTACAGGTGATCAATGTCATTAAGTCTTAATGTATACTGCATTGCTCACAGAATTATTGCTTGAGATTTGCTTATATTATTTGAGATGCTACAAGCACATCTCAACCTTTTAACATTGAATAAAGAACAGTAAAACTAAATGGTCAGAGAATAATGAAGGTAATACTTTGTTCTTGGTACCTAATCTTAGTTTAAGAAGCTCAACTACTTGTTTTACTACTCTTGTTTTACTGGCTTTATCGTAAGAGATTTGGTTGTAAATGCCTTCTGTCTTTGAAACAATCTGCCATCCCCTTTTCTTGAAAGTCATGCCTGGCTTGTGGTGGTCCTCAAGAACCTAAACTTTGATTGATGTCCTTGGTTGGGTCATCCTAGGATGGTCATTGTTGTTTAGAAGTGTATTTATTGTTTCTGTGGTATGCATATAAGTTTAGGGCAAGAAACTGCCTAACTTCTGGACTTTTGATACAAGTAGATAGGCTATTGATGGATTCCATTCCCAGTTGAAGTTGTTGCAGTTTTTAAAGCAAAATGAAGGTAGTTGAATTGTGCTGCTGACAGAGTGCTGGTGTTAATTACTAACGTTTGTCAAATACGCCTATTTTTTTATTAAGTCAAACTGATAGCACAACTACCTAATGTAAGCTATAGTATCTGTTATGTCACACCAACTATCTCAGTAACAAAAACCATGGCAAAAAACTTTAGACATTAGCGCATTCTGTGAATGCCTCATTGAACTAAGTTCTTTTTTATTAAAAAATTACCTATCGTTTAAATTTAGTAATTTACCAAAGGTACTTAAAAATTAGCTACTCCGTATAGATAGGATGTCTACCTGCAGTATCGAAAAGTCAATCACTTCACTTGTTAAAACAGAGTTTGTAATTTCATATTTAATTTCAGGTGCAACAGTGGGAAGTGCATTCCTGAGAACTGGAAGTGTGACGAGGAGAGGGACTGTGAAGGAGGCCAAGATGAAGAGGATTGTGAGAAGCAGGTGATGAGAGCTTGTGGTCCAGACGAGTACAGGTGCAAGAGTGGAAGCTGTATACTGGTGAGTTGTGTCACATTTGGATCTTTAAATCCGCTAGATTATACTTCAACAACCGTTATTCATTGTACCGTTGATCAGGTGTCTACAACTACCACTCTTGAATATCCTTGATAACCTGGAAGAGTTTGCAATATTTCAGTTGGGCCCTAGATGTTCCCAAAACCCCAGGGAATTTAAAAATGTATCCCCAATTTGTATCTCTCTCTTACTTAGTCCTGTGGGAGCGAGCTGGTCTAGCGGTAGAGCGAGGGGCTTCGGTGCCCCAAGTCCTTGGTTCAAATCCTGCCAATCACCAATGAATTTCATCCATGTGATAATGCCGCAATCCTCTAGAACTAGCCTGAAGTAATGTGTAAAACAGATTCCGGGTGGGATATAAAAAAAAACATTGAAAACCTAGGCGGTCTTTGGTCTCGCCAACCACGTCCCTCCAGGATCCTCTGTCTTCTGCCAGCTCTGCTCCCTTACTCTTTAAGCCCTTTGTTACCTCGTCAATCCATCTCATCCTTGGTCTTCCCAATGGTGTTCTGCTCTCCGGAATATGTCTTATCACTTGCTTTACAATTGTAACTTGTAAGGGTTTTGCTTAACAGATAAAAAGGTTGTCCATACCACAAGATATTTTAATGCTCATCTGTGTAAAATCTTTGGTTGAGAGTCGATAAGTTCACTTGGGCGCGTTTTGGGGAGAAATATTGGAAAAATTATTGATGTTTGTAGAAAAGCCCACAAAGTTTATATTTGTTGTTACATTTACTTAAAATTATGAGTTGGTCCAGCTCAAATAAAGTCCTCACAAATCCAGCTTAGCTGGTAAAACAGGTTACATTGTCAGATCTTTAACAATAAAATAAAACTAAAAATATGTTTACTTAAATTAACAATAAAATAAAACTAAAAATATGTTTACTTAAACTAAAATACATTTACTTAACCGTTTAAATATTTAAAAAGTGAATAATAATCTTTTTATAAGATATGGTATTGTTTAAAATCATTTTAAAATTTTGAAACACTGTCAATTCCTTTGAAGTTAGTGGGTACTGGCCAGTGGGTAGACTGTTGCAAAGCCTTTGACCGATATAATAAGGAGATTTTTCATGTTAAAATAGGCGATGTCTTGGATATTAAAACTTTTTTCAGCATGTAGGATATGGATGACTAAATTGTTTATCATTGTACATTTGATAATTAATTTTAAAATTCACCATAATTTTAAATATAGGCTATAGGTAAATAATAGTCATAAATAGTTATGAAAATAACCCACCAACCTCTTAAAAAATTATAAATTGAAGTCCGTCCGTTATGATTTATCTGGACTTCCTGAGGATTGTAGAAAACCAAGTGGTTCAGGTTTTTTTTTAGATTTTCATGATTGATGGGGTATTAATATGTTTCCTACAACTGTCCTAAAGAATTACCCCCTTCAGCTTTCTTTGCCCATTGCTAACCCTGGGTGAATCTACTATGACTATCTAGACATGGAAATGCATTGTAGCCTAAATGAACCACTGGCATCTTTAAAGAGTTATCAATTTTAGTCTGCCACTTTGCTGGTTTCATTCAACTAGAAATGATTGTAGAAAACAGTGGTTGAAGTGAATTGAGATTCTCATCATTGATGGGGTATTGAACTGTTTTAAAAATTCCCCTCAACAGTCATCAACGTTCTCAGCCTTTTGCAAGGCTAGTGTGGATCTACTGTTACGAGATAAGTCCAAGATTAAGACCAATGTCTCCCACCAACTTACTTTGATCAATTCTTCTTGCAATCTTCCTGCTTATAAAAAAGCAAATCATGCAAGTGAGACATTTTCATACTGCTTTTTTATAAATTCCCCTCTAACCGATTCCTATTTGTAGAAAACCTGGGTGTGTGATGGAGTACAAGACTGCTCGGCGGGAGAGGATGAAAGCAACTGTGTGATCACGTGTGACGCAGAGCAGCAGTTCACTTGTCCAATGAACGACACCAGCATGACACTCTCACGGCCGCGCCACTCTAGCCGCGCCTCTCCTCCTTGTATTGCACGCAAACACGTCTGTGACGGAAAAATCGACTGTCCCGGCAGTGAAGGTGAGTTTATTTTCCCGAGTGTTAAGTAACAGATCATTGACTGTTGGTTACTTAAATAGACATTCCATTTAATTGGACAATCTGTTGCTAATTTGAGTGAGCCGGTCACAGAATCTGCTAGTCTGAAATTGTAAACTTTTGGCCTTTACTGTATCTCTAGAGGAAAATGAACTAGATCCATCTTGTATTTTTTACTTCTATTTATTTGCATAATTTATTGTTGTAGATGAGAAAAACTGTCCGTTGAAAGTGCCATGTAACCCGAACGACAACAAGTGCGACCAGGCGTGTGTCACCATGGCGAACGGCAGCATCGGCTGTGCTTGCTTGCCAGGCTACATACTTGAACCTGACGGTGTTCAGTAAGTCTTATTGGCTGTTTTATGGGTGTAAGTTCTTAGTCAGCCACAGGGGTTTGACTAAATACTTATCTGAGGATAAATCAATTTTTGAAGCTAAGGATTTGTTTTTGAACTAGGCCTACTAGAAGTTTGATAGGATGTGCTAAAAATGCAAAAAGTTATAATATGGTCAATTTATCTAGAAACACGGTCTGTCCTTATTAAATCATTTACACAATCCCTCTTGAAAGCAAACTATGGATGGAGTGTACTGAAACTAGTTGAGATTGATACATCAAGTAGAAATTTGGTACTCTTCTTAGTCTCCATGTGGTGTAACTCTAAACCAAATTGAATTAAAACTTGAAATAGTCAGGTAAGATTGCATGAATAAACTGTGTTGAAATTTGATCACTCTAAAATGTATTTTTCCTAACAGTTGCCGGGACATCAACGAGTGTGCGTATGTGGCTGACCCAGTCTGCAGCCAGTCCTGTGAGAACACTGTGGGGTCATTCACCTGCAGCTGTTCCAAGGGCTACGTACTGAGGCCTGACATGCGTACCTGCAAAGCCCTCGGTAGTCCTCCTACGCTGCTTTTTGCCAACAGGATTGACATCAGACAGGTGAGTGGGCGTTTAGTGATGTCCTAATTTACTAAATATTAAAAATAAGATTTGAATTTGAAATTTGATCAGCTGGTTTCTAGAATGGAATTTGGAATTTTATATTTAGTAACGCCCACGGTTTGCCTGCATGGTTACGTCCCGTTTGTTTGTTCAAATGTAAATGTAATGGACTATAGATATGCATTTTTATACGCTGAAAGTTAAGTAATTTTTTAGTGATTAAAATCATAATTTACAGAATTTTTTAGAATGGGAATATGCCATATCCCGGAAAATTGATCAATTGAAAATCAATCATCAGTTGAAAATCTTGAAAAATGATCACAATGTCACGATTGAAATTCTTGGTACCGTACTGATTAAAATAAATGAAATAATAGTATGAATATTGACAGTAGATTATATTCTGTTTTTTTATATAAATGTTACTGTACTTCAATTTCATATGCAAGACTCAATTTTTTGTTAAGTTACTTTAATTTTATTATTTTCTTAAATTTTGAACCTCAATTGCTGGTGAACATTGAGTACTGATCAGTAAAGTGATCTAAACACAGTGAATCACCATTACAGTAAGAGTCAAGTGGACAAACCAGTGTTGACCACCGTTGTTATGAGTTAGTGCAGACAGTTGGTTTTGCACCAGCAATGTCTGGAAAATCAACCTGTGACACTACCTTTGAGCTACCGTGTTACTGGTTTTTAGGATTTTGATTGGCGAATCTCAATAGGAACATTTAGCAAAATATTGTGTTTATTTTAAAAATTGCAAATAAGTTTGGAAATTTGTTTAACTATATTTAACAATTTTTTAAGGTGGTTGAATATGTATGCTACAATAAAATCAATGATTCCAGCTGAGTCTGAACAACCTGCGATATACGGCCATTTTGAAAAACCTGCACAACGCTATCTCACTAGACTACCACTACAAGAGAGGGCTGGTGTTCTGGTCTGATGTGTCAATGGATTATATAAGAGTTGCTAGGCTCAATGGAACCGACGCCACAGGTGAGTTAGCTAGTAGCTACAGATTTTTTTAACATTTGCAGCAAACTAATAATATTTTGTATAGGGAAAATTAAATGTGAAACTGTATTTTCTATGGTTAAATCTTTAGACAATCATATTTTTTCATACCGATCTTTATCAGTGAAAACTGTTTAAAAATTTTGTAACAACTGTTTGGAAACATCTTTCTGTATCAAAATTGGGTAGGCTACTCAATTCAGTTGGAGATTAAAATTTGACTCGTTATCTCTTAAAAATGTCAGTGCCAGTAGTGAAAGTAAATCAGCTGATTTTACCCATCTTGTTGTTTAATTTCCAGATTATTGCAGATTCCAGCTAAGGCTATCAGGAGCACTAGTGCTCTCGCGATGAAAAGAAAAAGTAAACAAATACATTGTTGTCAGTGTTTACGCTAGAGGCATTTGTATACTCATACAATAATCTAAAATTTTTGTTAATGTTTTATTTAAATCAGCTGTTTCAAAAATTAATGTAATCATGCTATTTATAAAATTTTCACCTCTTCCTTTAATTCATTACCACTAGTTTTTAGATCAATAGATTATTAGCAATAGAAGTGGTCGTGAATTGATCTTTGGTTAGGTTTGATTAGGTTATTATAGAGTTTAGTATAGAGTTTAAAAAAAATTAACCCAACCTAACCACATTCCATAACAGTAGTGAATTAACAGAAAAGGTTACAAAATTTTATTTTTAACACTTTGTTTAACATTTTGTGCAATTTTTGGCATCGTGATGCAAAGAAGTGTTTATTAACTTGACCCAAAAGTCTGATTCTGTGGTTCAATCACATTTTTCACACCAGGCTTGACTTTTTTTGTAAGTTAAAGCAATCTTTCTCTTTATAAAAGAACACTTCCTAGTTGTAAAAATCATATTGTGTTAAGCTGAAGAATTTATTACGTTTAAAGACCGCCTTATTGAAAACAGTTTCTTCTACAAAACAGCTTTTGAAAACCAAGATTTGGATGATGACAATACTAATAAATAGTTAAAGAAACAAAGAAACAGCTAGTCTATATCTATAATCAATCACAAGTTTCATTCCAACCCTTGTCACCAGATGTGATCCGATGGGGCTTGGAGGGTCCTGGAGGAGTGGCCGTGGACTGGATACACGACTTGATATTCTGGACGGACGCTGGGACTCGTAGAGTGGAGGTAGCATCTCTCGACGGCAACAAGCGTCTCGTACTGGCCAGCAATGACCTTGATAAACCACGAGCCATCGCAGTGCATCCAGGCCAAGCACTCGTGTTCTGGACTGATTGGGGTAAGTGGTGATTAATAAACTGTAGGATTTTGTTATCTTAAATTGAGTTTTCCAAAAGCTGTGTGTTTTGAAAGACTTTGATGTCAGAGTGGAGTTATTGGATTCATGTGAAAACCAAGAAATTATTCATCGGCAGTTACAAACAAGATTTTAAAATCTCAAAGCCAACTGTTACACACTCATCTCTGCACCCTATTAGCTTATTTTTTCTGACTGATGTGGTTCATTGTATCCTGTTTCTTTGCATTGCCAACTTACTTTATAAAGTAGAAATGCAAAAATTTGCTTGGTTGTTAATTATGATTATAAACTGTAAATGCCATAAAATTAAAATGGTCTTTGATTACTATTAAGATGTGAATATATTACTTTCACATCAATGGTTGAGTGGTTTTAGTGCTGGCTTGTTAGTCAGGAGGTACCGTAGCTGGTTAGATCTTAAGGAAAGTCAGCTGTGTTTTTCTGGATTGATGATAAACTTAGCTGTCCTTGGTCATTGGGCTACTTTATAATTGGTTCTGGCTAACATTAGTAAGTAGTGCAGCTTAGTAAGCAACAAAGGTACACAAGGCATCTCACTCTAATCTAAACTCATATCTACTTGTTATATGCTTCATTATGTCACTATGTTAATGAAACAATCCTAAAATAATCAATGTAATTTTTAATCATGTTATTTTGAGTCTTTCCTACTTTAAAATTAGCACTTAATGTTATCGTTTTAAAATTGTCTAAGAAAGTTTATTAAACAAATCAATCACATTTATTTCTAACATTTAATCCAAACAATTTAAGATTTAGACCCACCTAACTTCTTGCATATAATTTTGCGTAACAATATCAATATCTGTATTGTTGTGCAGGGCCTAACCCCAAGATCGAGAGGATTGAGATGGACGGCAGCAACAGGCTGAGTATCATCACAGAGTCTGTGTTTTGGCCCAACGGTCTGACCATCGACTACACAGCTGATCGGATATACTGGGCCGACGCCAAGCATCACGTCATTGAGAGCGCAAAGCTGGACGGCTCAGACCGACGCAAGGTATCGTCTCATCCTGCATAATCTACTCTTGTTGGTCTATGAGCTATGTGTGTGTAGTTATGTTTGTGCACTCTATTTCAGCCGTAATTTTGACTTCTGTGTGTTGTAAATCCTGTTTATAAGGTACAAGGTTATTTAACTAATAAAACCCACCACTTCAACTCAGACAATACATGCAACGTCCTACCATCCTTACTCACAAAAAATAGCTGCTTACAATAGTATGATTCACAGAATGTTAAATGTCTCACTAAGCACTGAAAATTACAAGATAACATTTGATACAATCAAATTCATTGCTGCTTCTAATTTGTACCAAGATAATCTAATTGAAAAGCTCATCGCCAAACAGATCAAACGAAAAAGTGAAGTAAACACCCATCAGTCTGATAAAAAACTATGTTTGTGTTGAATTTAACAAAAACTTCGAGCACAGTCTCAAGAGGCACCTGAAAAACAATAACATCACTTTATCCTTTCGAATAGCAAACAAAGCCAATAACATAAAGGACATTAGCCATCCCAAACAATTAGATAAAACCAGCTCAATAGGAATCTACCAAATAAATTGTGCCGACTGCCCAAGTTTTTACTGTCATAAGGGATATTATTTTTAACGCCTTACTCCAACTAGGAAACCTATCTAAACAGTTTACCACAACTGATAACGAAGACAATCCTACTAGATAGCGCTCATTGAACCCTCCGTTGACAGCCTATGTAACGGTAATGTGGCGTACCCGTGATAGGCCTTTCCAACTAAAATTATTATTTATTTATGTGTCCTGAACAACGAAGCTATACAAGCGGATTTTTTAATGTACATTCCTGGACTGTACGCTTGAAAATGGCAGCTCTATGAAACATGTAGCATTGACGAAAGTTACAATTTGGAACTGACGACAGGTAGTAGTCTATAAAACCAATTTTATTCAGTTAAGTAATATTTTGTTGTATTGGTTTTATTTGAGTTTGGTACCTCAATAGATTCACCTTCTCCTGTCAGACTTGCTCTGAAATATGAAACACAACAGCGTAGCAGTGCTCAAACCAATGGTTGAACTTTATTCTTTGGTTCATTTTTCTAAAAACAAGTGTATGGTTGGTGCAGGTTGTCACCAAAGGTTTACCTCATCCGTTTGCACTGACGTTGTTTGAAGACTCTATCTACTGGACGGACTGGCACACCAAGAGCATCTCCACTGCCTCCAAGGCTACTGGCTCTGGCTTCCGCACCATACACTCCGGCCTCCACTTCCCCATGGATATTCACAGGTCAGTTTTTCATTGACTTTGGATTTACGATTTTACCACTAGACTTCTCTTTGTAAAATCCGAAGCTTGTTTTAGTCTGTGTTTTAGGTAAAATAATAATGATTTTGTTGGTGTCTGGTATTAATTCCTCATTGTTTTTGGTTAAATTTAAAATTCTTACTGTTTAGTTGCAAGAGGACAAGCAGTAACTTAGAAATAGATTGTCCTGCTAAGTTCTAATAATTCTATAATAGTTCTAATAATTAGAATAAACTGAGAATAAAAATAAAACATCACTGCTCTAAAATGTTACCTCATTTAATCTTACTCTAAATTTGTGTTCAGCTGGTCTATAAAGATGATAAATTTTGATAACGAATCTATTTAATCTATGATTCAAAGATTTGTTGTTACAAGAAACAAGCTTGCACTCTTGACCAGTTGACGTCCTGACACTAAAACACTAACAAGTATAAATTAACAGTGGTGAATATAAATCTAAAGATTAACAATACCATAACGAGAGTAACAAGGTGTTGACATTTGGGTAGTAACAGAACGTGTCTAGTCCACATCAATAATTATCAAAATTTATATTGAATGAATGAAAAAGTGCTTTATTGCTGCTTTTATTTACATTTCCAGATACCACGTAGGGCATCTGCCAAAAGAAACACTTTAGGCATTGGCCGGAAGGGCCGTCGGCCAGGTTGGCAACACAGCAAAGTTACATTTACACTTAAAACAACCACACACACACATATATATACATAACTGATAATCAAAATAATACGATAGATACTGAGAAAAATAATAAAAAGCTACTTGAACAACAACACAGTTAATTTACGGAATAAAATAAAGAAAACAAATAGATTATTATTATTTTTTTATTGTTTTTTTTTTTTATTAAGGAAAGAGATATACAACCAATTTTAGGCATTTTTAGACAAAAAGAAATGTGTAATTTAAAAATTAAATTCTTCTAGCAGTGCCGATCTGTACTGCCAGGCTTCTCTTAAGAAACCCGCAAATATCCGCAAATCCCTACCATTCAAATATTCTTCAAAATCAAATTTTCTTAAACGAAATGCATTAAAATATTTTTTCCTTATATTACCTAATATTGGGCAAACGGACACAAAGAGCAAAAACGGATTCTATTTCATTTTAAAACTTATATTAATTAATGATAGAACCTGTTCTCTCCCTTTTATTATCATCCCTTCTCCTCACCTCATTCACTTTCTAGGGTTTCCTCTTCCTCACTATATCTCAACTCCATTTTCCTGAGAATTCTCTTTTCTTGCATCATGTCCGAACAATCTTGAATTGCTAAATTTTTATCTTAGCTGTCTTCAACTACCTCTCTTCTCATTTCTTCATTCCTGGCCTTGTTTACTCTTTACAGCCCTTACAAATCTCACTTCTCCAGCTTGTTTTATTTCTCCATTCTCGATCATGTACATTTCATACTTCTGCCCCACAGAACTGCTGGCGTAAAATAATGTCTAATACTATTATTCTTCAACGGTAACTTCTGTTTTTCCTGTTATTTTCCTTTTTAGAAAGATAATACTGTGACAAAACAATCCAATCAACGACTGTGATGTTCTGAAGTAGTTTATTCTCCACAGTTATCACCCTCAGAGGCAGCCCAACTTCACCAATCACTGCGGGGAAGACAATGGAGGTTGTTCACATCTCTGTTTACCAAACACCAACAGCTTCCAGTGTGCCTGTCCACTCGGCCTCAAGCTGACGGACAACAAGTGAGCTTCACCTATGATTAGTTTATAACCAAATCTTTTATTGTCGTTGATCCATTTTTACCGACTATATCTATTTTTTTTATCTATTATATGGATGGCATAGTAAAAGCCATTATTTGTTTAGGTCTACACCATTGGTATTTTTTATTTTTTATAAGTGAATCACAAAAGTGGAATGCCGTCCAATCCCTTCAAATCATTGTAGATATGACAGGGATCGGACTGGTTCCTCCGATAACTTAGTCAGAAACCAAGAAGCTAACTACTAGCTAGCTACACAGTCCAAAACATATATACAAGTATTCCAATTCTAAAGTGTATGTAAAATTACAAAATCCATTGAAAGCCGCTTTTAACTGAGGGTGGCACTGAGAGGATATGAATATTTCCAAAACTGGATGGTCCTGGTGTAGCAAAATGGTGTGATTTATGCCGGGTAGTAGCAAAGAGGGTAGGTGTGATTGATGAAATGCTTGGAAAAAAGGAACTTGATATTTTATTAATTTTACATACAAAAATACAACATTTTAAATCCAGTTATTTTGAATAATAATAGCTAATTTTAATTTTTAAGGGTTGAACTACATCTCAATAAAGAAGCATTTTTATTCAATATCTGTTCAAATTTAATATATGATTCCTCATTTTCATAGACTCCCTTTAAAGTCAAAAAGGCTAATTAAAGAATAAGCTAGCAAATTATCTACTGAGAATTTACAAGAAACTAGTTTTGGAGCATAATGCAGGCTATTAAAAATGTTACACAATTGGTTTGAATTTGATTACACAATTTGGCTTCACATTTAGTTAAGTAGAATTTTCCCTCTTGTTTTCTGTAATGTGTAATTTTAGTTTATAGAAGGTAAAGGGCTCTTTGCGAGAATAGGTTTGATTTTGTTTTTGATGGGAATAGAATAGCAGGCTTACATGTACAGTGGGCGAGTCTTCTCGTTTTCTCAATAGGAAACGCATGTGTATACACAAAACAAAATTAAAATTGCAAACATTTTGTTTTGCGTGTAAAATTCTATACACTAATAAGCTTCATTAGTGAATATAAGGATTAGATTTATGTAGAAAGAAACTACTCTGGTGTTAAAATAATTTTCTTGTTTGTATGAAATCTTGAGTTTTTTTCTATGTACTCATGCAACCAAACATTTATTTTAATATTGTACAGTTCTTGATGATAAATATTTATGTTTTGCTTTTCCCGCAGACGGACATGTGACTCCACACCTGATCAACTGATGATCTTTGCTCGTAAAAAAGACCTACGTTTGCGCCGACTTGATCTCCGGGACCAGAGCTACGACACTGTGCTGCCCGTGGATGGTATCAAGTCAGCTGTGGCCGTTGCTTGGGACTCCAATACCGACTCCATCTACTGGAGTGACGTGGAAGCAGACCTCATATCTCGGGCATTCCTCAACGGCAGCCGACAACAAGCCATCATCTCTAACAACCTGGGTAAATCATCTGATGTCATCTTGTACATCTCTCAAGTAACTTTCTTAGAGTAGTATACAAAAATTGTAAGTTTTTACAATAAAATAGAATTGATATTGTCATAAGAAAGACGGTTAATTTTCTAGCTAGGCTAAATGAGGTGGATATGCAATTGGAAGTTAAGTTATTGATATATGAATAAACCCACATCAACATTCTAATTTGTCAATCATATAACATGAATGGTGTAGGTTTTGAGAATTGTTCTTGGGATAGCAGGAAATTTAATGATATTCTTTATTTGTTTTACAAAGTTTATACAACTGTGATATTTCACAAACAAACCAATAATACATCACTTTTTCTCTTATAACTAAACTTAATATAAAGGGATGCTTGTCTGAAAGGGGAATAGTTAATTCTGGCACAAGAAACATAAACTGTACGCTATCACAGAAAACATACTACTATAACCCAGAATGCCAACCGCATGGTAAAAAGCATTAAGTGTTTTGAGAGAGCTTTGCCTGTCAATCGTAGGCAGCGCCACCAGCGTTGCCATGCACTCAGCATGAGTGCTCCCTGGCAGTTGCAGGCAGCGCCACCAGCGTTGCCATGCACTCAGCATAGCAACGCTGGTGGCGCTGCCTACGATTGACAGGCAAAGCTCTCTCAAAACACTTAATGCTTTTTACCATGCGGTTGGCATTCTGGGTTATAGTAGTATGTTTTCTGTGACGCTATTCACAATAAAAAAGACGGTCACTAATTCGTATGGGGCTTAAGGGGTGCCGGATTATTGAAAATGCTGGGTTACTGATCAATGATCATCTTTTTTAAACAGCTGTTATTGTGAGACTAACAAAAAACTGCTAAATTTAGCATTTACCGATTACTCTCAACTCGGCCCAACTCACTTATAGGCTTAAAATATCATTAACAAATTTTGTTTAGACTTTAGGACCAATGCTGGTTTATTGAAAGTGCCATACCATTGGATATTTATTTATTTATTTATTTATTTATTAAACATCATCACATTACATCAATTCTCTTGACAGGTGATTTGTCACAAAGTCTAATACTAATACTATACTACATTTTAAAATAAAATAGCTTACAAAAGAAATAAAGCATATAATAAGCTACAAACCTATGCGAGAAGCAATATCTTTCAAATTTACTCATTTTCCAGATATTCCTCTAACGAGTAAAATGCCCTCTCCAAAAGGAAATTTTTTAAAGATAGTTTAAATTTAGAGAATGATGCAATGTTTTTAATCCCAGCGGGTAATTTATTGTAAATTTTTGGTCCCATATACTGAGGGGATAAATGAAAGATTTTAAGCCTATGTTGAACTGGTTTTATAATATTTTTGAATCTTGTGTTATGTGGATGAGATTGTTGACAGTCCATGAATGTGTCGAAATCACTTTTAACCATTAATGCCAATTTGTAAATATAAGAGCTAAAAAAAGTTAAAATTTTAAAATTTATAAATAAATCTTTACAATGTGTTCTACGGGAGACTCTGGCCATTAATCTTACAGCTCTTTTTTGGAGAATAAATATTTTTTTGGCCTGGCTTGATGAGCCCCATACAGTAATTCCATAATTCATAATCGATGAAAAATATGCGTGATATACTACTATTTGTGTTTCTAGATTAGTAGTATCCCGAATTATTGTGAGAACAAATGTTGCTGAGCGTAGTCTTTTTGATAGGTTTTTAATGTGTTTTTGCCAATTAAGTTGTGAATCGATTTCTATTCCCAAATAATTTATTGACTGTTGTGAATGAATTGTAGTTAAGTTTGTATTTACAATTATTTCTTGGTTAATATTGGATGCAGAAAACTGAATTAGTTGAGTTTTTGCCACATTCATGGACAGGCCATTTACTGCAAACCAATCCCCAAGGAGTTGAAATTCCTTAGTTATTGAGGCTTGAATGAACTCATTGTTTTGTCCTGTGCAAATTAAAGCGGTATCATCTGCGTATTGAAAGGTGGACATCTTAGTAGCATTGCATAGATCATTAACATAAATAATAAATAAACAAGGGCCGAGAATGGAGCCCTGAGGAACTCCATTGGGGTTAATGTTCCACTCTGATTTATAATTTCTCTGCATTTTTTGTAAAATAAGTCTTTGTTTTCGGGTCTTTAAATATGATATGAACCATTTTAATTCAGTATTTTTTATTCCATGCCTACTTAATTTTTCTATGAGTATCTCATGATTCACACAGTCAAAAGCCTTGGATAGGTCACATAGGTAGCACACCCACAGTCTTCTGCGATCCATCCAAGGCTTCCGCAATGTAGTTAATCATTTTTGTTATGGATTTTTCAGTACCGAGTTAGTACCGGATCAGTACCGGATTATCAGGTTTTTACTGTTATTAGACCATTTCACTGACACTGACAGCATTTATATTCCCAAATATATTCATAGTGCTTGAGCTTTAACCAGTGAATAAAACAATATAAAATGATCGTTGATTGTAGAATCGCCAAGTGGTCTGGCAGTAGACTGGGTGACAGACAAGCTTTATTGGACGGACGCTGGCACTCGACACATCGAGGTGGCCACACTCAACGGATCACTTCGCGCTCTACTCATCTACGATGGCCTCGACAAACCCAGGGACATCAGTGTCAACCCTGCCGGTTCGTGAAGTTACTTCTCTTGTTATCATTGAAACCTTTACCACTTGATCACTTGCAACTTAATACTTAATCACTTATCAGCTAATTTTAATTTGTTACTTTTAATTTTGGCTGAAATTTTTTAATGGTTCCGCCATGTAAAAATGCTTTCTGTAGTTAAAACTGTAGTGTGTGTTCTGTAGTTATCCTTTATGTTACTTTTACTCGCTATTTTTCCTCACTCCGGATGACAACTGAAAACCTAAAACAGTTACTTTTGCTGAACCATGATTTTCAAGATTATTAATTTCATGATGGGTTAGCCTCTGGATCAAGATAATGCAAATATAAAAGGATTAATTTACCTGTTGCGTCTATTGATCCTTAAGTTAAGGATCAATTGACGCAACAGGTAAATTAAACCTTTTATATTTGATTATTAATTTTAACATTACCTGAAAAAAATATGTTTCATGGTAAAATTAAAATTTCTTGCCTTTTTTATTTCTAATATTAATAAATAATGGTTTCAGATGGCTTCATGTACTGGAGTGACTGGGGAGAGGAGGCTAAGATAGAGCGTGCTGGGATGGATGGGTCAGGCCGCAAAGTGTTTGTCAGTGAAAACCTGTTGTATCCCAACGGCCTGGCCATCGACCATGACATGAGCCGGCTGTACTGGGCCGACGGAGGCACTAAGAAAATAGAGTTCTGCAATCTGGACGGCTCCAACCGGCAGCCCCTTATTGGTTAGCTCAGTATGACACTATGTTTTAGTGATATTCAAAACCAGATATTATGAATCTCTAAACCAAAAATTTGTAAAGTCTTGGTTGAGGTATATATCTTATTTTGAGAATAAAGGTAAAGCTGAAATAGTCCTGACAAAGTCGTTAAATAAGTTACTAACCACATAGAACTAGGTATTCCAATTTTTTTTTACTTGATGAGAACCTTAATCTGTGTTAATTTTTTTTAGGTATGTGTATACAAATATTGTCAACTTATATGTCTACCTAGCATTTATCCACATTAACAGTCTTCAACAGGTCCCAAATTCAGCTGAAACTATAATACAATTTCATCCATCATGATCAAAGGTTTCTTAGTTTGTGTAGTTTGCATTTGTCCGAGTTAACCTTTTTGTCAATTTAATCACTGTTCACAACAGAGTCGGATCTTCCTCATCCGTTTGGACTCGCTCTGTACAAAGACAAGATCTACTGGACGGACATGGCGGCTGCTAGTATTCAGGTGGCCAACAAAGACACCGGAAAACACCGCAACACTCTCAGGTGGGCTAATAGATACAAATTATGAGGACTGTCTGTAAATTAAGGTCTCCATCAAGCTCTCGTCGCATTATGAGTAAGCTAGTCCAATTATTCATACACTAATGAACGTACCTATTGACGGTCCCAGGGGAGGGGATGGGAGGGATATATCCCCCCATACTATTAGCCTGAGCATATTTTAGAGCTCAAATACGTATAAAAATATATTTTTAGTCTTTAAATTTAAATTCCACATCCCCCCCTCCACCCCCCGAAATGAAATCCTGGGACTGCCACTGAACGTACGCTGCCATTGTGCGAATTTGTACGGGCTTCTGCAATTGGAACCTCCATCCCAATTCCTGAATTTTTATGACTTTTAGTTTTTGAGTTATAGTGATCAGTGAGTGAGTGGTTACTCACCATTTATAAATCAAACAATATTTAAATCCAAACAGATAGACAGAAAAAATGTTGTAATAATAAAATTACTGAGTGTAAACATATATGTCGCTGAAAAACACAGTTCAGATCTATTTATTGGTGAAATGAGATTAGAGATTTATTTTAACGAATGAATCATCAAAACCTTTTGATTATCTAATTTATTATTTATTATTATTTAATTATCAATTTTAGGATTACCATAACCAAGTATTTACAACAAGTACCATAACAAAGAAGAAATAGAAATTCAAAATAGACTAAATCTGGCAAACAGATGTTTCTACGCTTGCAACAGACTGATGTACTCTAAGTTACTGTCAAAAAACACCAAAATTAGAATTTATAAGACAATAATAAGCCCAGTATTATTATACGGAGCTGAAACATGGAAACCAAATAAAAAAGAAGAAAAGAAGTTAATCACATTCGAAAATAAGATTTTAAGAAAAATCTATGGACCAATTTATGAAGGTGGTGAATGGAGGAAGAGACACAACAGAGAACTGAGAGAACTCTACAGAGATCCAGATGTGGTGTGTGAATTTAAGTGTAGAAGAGTTAGATGGGCTGGACATGTTTTACAAAGAGAGGAGCAAAATAAGTTAAAATTAGTTTTACTAAGAAATCCCGAAGGAAGACGACCGAGAGGAAGGCCAAAACAAAAATGGTGGAGCCAAGTAAAGAAAGACATGGAGCAACTAGGAGCAACTGAGGAGGATGCAGAGGATAGAGCAAGATGGAGATGCTTTGTTGGTGCGGCCAAATATCTTCTTAGATATGCATGGCCCTGAGAGGAAGGAGGAAGGAAGCATAACCAAGTATTTACACCATTTTCAAAATTTATCTGTAGTCCGGAGTACTAACATAATATATTCGAGTGATGTAGGCAAAATCGTCATCATGACATTCTACTTGATTGTTTCAATTGTTTTTACAGGTCGGGCGTTAGTGGACTGATGGATGTGAGGATCTTCCATCGCAACCGTCAGATGCAGCCATCAATGTGTCACGCACACAACGGAGGATGCTCACACTTGTGTCTGTTGGCACCTGCGCCTCTGGGGTTCGCCTGTGCCTGTCCCATCGGCATACAGCTCCTGGTAGGTGCCACAGTGCTGTAAAATTGTGATGCTTCAACATTTAATATCGGTTTTGCAATTTATTTATTTATTTATTTAACGGTAAACACCATTTTACATTGTACTTGGATTTTTTGTGTGTGAATATTTGTTGATGAAATTAAACATGGTGTTGTAATTTCTTATATCGATTATTCTATTATTTTAGATCAGAACTAGGTTACATAAACCCGGTAAGTGGTTATTTCCAGTTAAACGATTAATTTTTCATCACACCATTATTGATTAATGTGGGGTTAATTAATAATGATTTATGGATGAATGTACCTTTGGAATTATGTCGGACGTAGTGAGCGGCAAGGAAGCTGCCGCAGGATTGAGTTGCCGGTCGATGGTAGAACGGTAGATTGTCCTCAAGACGAAGGCACAACACTTGACACTATCTTTGTATGTTGATGTTCTGACAGGCCCGTTTTTGACTATGTCAGCGCCCTAGGCACAACTAAAATACTAGCGCCCCTTTGCAATATATATAACAGGGTGACTACCAACCGGGAAATCTGGGAATTAAGCGTGAATTTTTTTTAACCCGGAATTATGCGTGAATTTTGTATTTCTACCTGGAATTGTCAATTTACCGCAATGGCGCATGACAACAGCGACGTTTCCGTGACCACGGGAAACGATAATATGTCTCCACAAGGCCGCGAGGGATGATCAGAACTTTGCCGCGATCGCATGAGAGACTATGATAATGTCTACACGACCGCGGGATATGATCTTGATTTTACTGCGATCGCGCAATACGATAATGAGATCTACAGAGCCGTGAAGGATGGTCAAAATATTGCCGCGATCGCATGACACGATGATAATGTCTAAACGACCGCGGGATATGATCATGATTTTACCACAATCGCGTAAAACGATAATAAGATATACAGAGCCGCGATGGATGATCAGAATATTGCCGCGATCACAGAAGACGAAGATAATGTCCACACAACCACGGGAAACAGTCAGAAATTTGCCACAATCGGGGAAGACGATAATGATCTCCACATGACTGCAGGATATTATTAACACTTTGCCGTAATCGCGGGAGACGATTACGATGTCTTCACGACAGCGGGAGACGATTACGATGTCTACAGGATCGTGGGAGTTACAATAATGATGGCTACTCTACACGGCTGCGAGGGATGATCAGAATTTTACCGCGATCACGTAAGACGATCCACTCCACCACAGGAAAGATCAGAATTTGGCCTCATTCGCAAAAGACGACGAAGACCTCCAAACGACCGCGGGAGATGAGTACCATTTGCCACAATGGCGGGAGGGGATCACAATGCCTCACGACTGCGGGAGGCGATGATGTCTTCATGGCTGTGAGGGATTATCAGAATTTTATCGTGATCACGCAAGAAGATGATAATGTCCACACAACCCCAGGAAAAGATTAGAATTTTGTTTCATTCGCGGTAGACGGTGATAATCTCCTCACGACCGCGGGATGTGTTCATATATTGCCGCGATCAAGGAAGACGACAATTATGCTGTCCACACGTCCCCCGAAAATAGTCAGAATTTTGCCGTGATCGCGGGAGACGGACGATGATGACGTATACACAACCACAGAAAAAATTAACATCTTGCCACAATTGCGGGAGACTGTTAAGATGTCTACACGGCCGCGAGGGATTATCAGTTTACCGCGATTGCGTGCAAATACAGCCACAATTTTTGTTATTTTCCAATTTTTTGGCGCCCCCCAAAAATGACAATTGCCTCGCACCCTAGGCACGTGCCTACCGTGCCTATTCGGTAAATCGGCCCTGTGTTCTGATCTTGAGGTAGGAATAACGCACGTCTAAAGTCCATAAGGTCCAAAATGAGCGTTTACAAAATGTTGTCCCTACGCGACCGCGGTAGACCGGAAAGGGAGGATTCACTGCTAAAACTGACTTTACACTGGTTTATAAGAAATAAATTTAATTTAATGAGGTGAAAATGTTATAGGTACTGTATAAAGGGGCCACGGACTAATACGAGTGGCAATAATAGAGAATTAAAACTATAAGAGGGAAAGCCGCAATGGGCAGAACAAATTAATTATGTCAAAGTGACATGTGTTAGGTAAACCCGGCAAACGACAGACTGGGCAAGCGTCCCGATGCGACGCTAAAACTTCGCAAAAATATCCTTCCGCCAAGTTCACCAATAGGCATTGTGCTGATCCCACTAGGTTCAATTGAAAACCCCTACTCTCTCTGTCGGTGGCAAATACAAATGCATAAAATATGATATAGTACAAGATATAAAAAACATTTTCCTGAAAACTTACTTAACAATTATGACTACTTTTATCAAATCATTATTTTTTATCGTTATCTTTTTTTTTATCTAATGGATGTGAACCTTTAAACACAACAGGTTTTTTTTCCCCTAAACCTTTTTTTACCCTTTAAGCCCAAAGACTATTGTACTGACCATGATAAGTATCACAACAAAACATACACTTAAATAAAACAATTTATGCTTTAACTTTAACAAAAATAACTCTTAGATGAAATAGGTATAATCATACTAATACTAATATTATAAATGTGAAAGTTTCTGTGTTTGTTTGTTTATTTATTTGTTTGAAGTTCAATCACGCATTAACTACTGGTCGGTTCAATTCAATTAATGAATGTGGGACTCAAAGTACTCATCATCATCATCATCATCATTTGTTGTCGAAGGAGCCGAGACAACCCGACGGCTACCCGGTACCTATTAACTCAAAGTACTAATGACAGTCTTGACTCGAAATTGTTTAGTACTCCAATGTGCTGTATTTCTCTCCACAGACGGACGGGAAGCAGTGTGCCGCCGGACCGACCAACTCTCTGATCTTCGCCCACAGGGAGGACATCCGCCAGATCTCACTGGATGTGCCGTACACTGTGGATGTTGTGCTTCCCTTACCACAACTTAAGGGTGCTCATGCTGTGGATGCTGACAGGAAAACAGGTACTTATCAAAAAGGATAAACTGATAAGGTTGAAAATACACTATAACTTTTGGATGATAGTGGTAAAAGGATAACCATGGTTTCAAACCTGTTGAAAGTCACAAACACATACGTCTTACACAAACAGACACAAAAACACAAAAAAAAAATATCAAATGTTAATACTGATCAAGTGGTGTTACTGGCAGATGGTGAGTCACGACTAGTGTTTGTGTACCTATGTGTTTTTAACGACTTTTCACAATCCTGGGGATGAAAAGGTTTGTTTTTAAACTGGGTACTCAGCTTACAAATGAACCTTTAAGGGTAAACTCTTGATCACTTAACAGAAAACAGTTACAGATATTTTAAACTTTTCATTTGTATAATCGTAGTCCAGAGACTAAAATGTTTGTAATAAATAGTTGGGGGTACTTGGGTTGAGACAATTCTCTCCAGTTTCTGTTTATTAACTTTTGAAGTAATATTTTTGTTTAAGTCAAAATGTTATTTTTAGGTTATGTTGTTTTATGGCTTTAATAGAATATGAATTGCAACTTTTTATGTTCTTAACTAACTAAAATAAAAGCTAAAAACGCTTTGGCTAACTGATCTACCATGCCACTGTCGGCCGGTTGGGCCAAAAAGCCCATTAAGCCCGAATAGCAGCAATAGCGCTCCAGCCACCTTGGACTTCTACAAACAGGACTGTATGTTAAAGCTTATGGGTTATGGCTTGGTTTCCTCCTCGTGCTTTTGATTACCTTAATTTCTTTTATCATCAAATTATCATGCCATCTATACAAACTAGTTTTAAATATTCTGTTATTTCTTTACCCTTCTCACTTTAAAGTAAACAGCTTTTGTCTGTTTCAAGATAGACAACTATATTAACAAAATTTGTATTCTAGTATTGTAAGGATATGTTTGTCAAGCTATGTTTGTACCTCACAGGAGAGATTTACTGGACGGACACAGAACTGGATGTTATCCAGAAGGCTACTCGTGATGGTAAGAACGTCCAAGTGGTCATTGGAGACGGACTGGTCGCTGCTGATGGAATTGTGGTTGACTCCACTGGACGGAAGGTGAATTCAGTTGTTTGGTTTCAAAAATAACTTGTTGTTTTCATCTGTTTTATATTGTTTTGTTTACTCATCGGAAATGCATTTTTGATCTGAAAAAATCAGAGTTATATCAGAGTTAGGGAAATGTTAGAAACAGTAATAAAAGTAATTCTCATTGTCTCCACTGTTTACAAGACATACATGGAAATATACATGCTGTATACCATTACCAAAAATGTGGATAGACAAAAACCTACATTAAAAACACTAATAATAGCAAAATACACATTTTTGATGAGTTGTATAACAAGGATTGACAGTGATTCAAGTGATGAAGGTAATTGATGCCTCTCAGTAACTGAAGCACTTCTGGATGTTATAACAATACATCCAGGATTATAGTGGTGATGCCATGTTTTGCACATTTTACATCACACGTTCTAATATACAGGTATACTGGACGGACGGAGAGCGCAAAACTATTGAAGTGTCAGAGTTAGACGGCTCCAACCGCAAGGTGTTGTTCTGGTCAGGGTTTGACAATGTCAAGCCTCGAGCACTCGTCATCCATTATCACCTCGGACTGATGTTCTGGTCTGACTGGGGCGAGACAGGCCGCATCGAGCAGGCTGGCATGGACGGCACTCTCAGGTAAAGCAACCAACAAGTCAGGAGCGATTTCAATAGGGGGTCTACAGTGGTTAAGCCCCCCCCCCCCCATTGGACTCTGAAAATATAATATAATACATTTTGTCCTACCAAGGCCCCACTAGAAATAACAGGCCCATGCTGCAGCACGGGCAGCGCAACACTACGTCACAGTGGTGGATAGTTGTACTAAACTCTTACCGTACCATTAAAATCTTACAAACAACCAGGTTGTTTATTTACCTAAAACATATGGGAGTGGTGATGGCAATGAATTTATCAATGAAATCTATCCACTATACTCTGTCTGAATTTAATGTGCGGTTGAAGGACAAATTTGTTTTCCCCTGTTTTCTCCCTAGCCCCTGCCACCACCACATATTAGCCTACAGCTGATTCATACTGTTCATAATTTTACAACAGGTGTCACTTTGTTTACATTTTAGTAGTAAACAACATTGTGATTATTATGATGATATTTTGTGCAGTTTAATATTATTCAGTCTGGGTTTAATTGATTAGTGTTAGTTAGAAATAGAAAAAAAGGCCAAAACTTAACTTGAGAAGGAATTAAATACATTGCAGCACATAATATGGACTCCGAAGATTGTAATATAGAAAATATATCAAAAGATTATTGTAATGGATAATGCCAGCTACCATTCGAAACGACTTAACAAAATTCCAAGTTCAAAATCAAGAAAGGCAGACATTGTGAAGTGGCTATCAGATAATGGTATTGAACACAATCCAGTCCACACAGTAGCAGAACTCCTTACCACCGTGCGGCAGCACAGGCAAGATTTTCCCCCACAGTACGAACTGGATGAACTTGCGTTGCAGATGGGTCTGAGGTTGTTCGTCTACCCCCTACCATTGTCAATACAATCCCATAGAGCTAATTTGGGCTCAAGTGAAAGGGGAGGTAGCGCAAAATAACACGTCTTTCAAAATAAAGGATGTCAGGAACCTTCTTGAAAATGTCATGAACCATGTAACAGTAGAAGACTGGAAGAAATGCGTAATTCATGCTGAAAATATCCAGGAAGAAGATTTTTTTAAAGAAGGACTGCGTGACGAAATTATGGAACCATTCATTATAAATCTGCAGGATGACACTGACTCTGGTGGCTTAAGCGAAGATGATGGTGAACATCTACTTTCCAGTTATGAGAGTGAATGATGTAATGGAACGTTTCCAGTACTTTGTTAACGTTCACATTACATCTAACTTTTGTTAAATTTACATCATTGTGTTCATTTTGTGGTTTAATATATGTTTTATAAATAAAATTATATTTATATATTTTTACGAGTTTTGTTTTCTATTTGGTGTGTACTCAGGCATATTGGGCTTTTATTATTAGGGATTTGAAATATTTAAACTATTAGTAAACAACGAAAAAATGCAAAAACTTAAATATAACTGTTTCATACAAATGGTTTAATTTGTGTGTATCTTTAAACATAACTCGTTCATTCAAATAGTATGATCAATTTGTTATATTAGTTTATCCTCAGTAAAAGAAAATTATAGCAAATAATGTATGGTATAATAAAACAAGTTTAATGAAATGACTCCGTTGTTCATCATGACCTAATAGGTACATATTAAAGGCAAAGTACTCTGATGTTGTACACTGATTATTCAGGCATAAACAGGATAACCCAATGGTTTTCATCCTGATCTGACCTTAGGGCTCCGCTAGAGACCTTGACAAAGTTCCCATTGCCGACGGTATTAAAATAATAACTAAATAAGAAGTGAAGAATCGCTTTAGAATTGTGAAACCAGTTCACCACGATATTAACTAATTTAATAATGTATAGTTACATTACCTGAACTGAAATTGTATTTTAAACAATCCATCAAAAGCATAAAGCATAAATGTTAGTCCAAGATTATCTATATTACAACAAAACTTCTAATGAAATTAAAATTAATACGTAGATTATTTATGTTAAAATAAATCTTCTTGTTTTATTATGTGTGTAGTTCAAGCATAATAAACAAATGCTTCCTAAAAACCTGTCTGCAATATAAAACAGATGATTGTTACGGGTATTTTTGTGTAGAAAAGGGTAAATGAGAGGGAGATTTACCATAATAGGGAAATCATATGTTGAATTTCAACCGCACAATTATTTTAGACAGACTTTAGTGTGACGTCATGGATCCTGTTGCATGGCCTGTTTTTCTAGTGGGGCCTTTGTCCTACTGAGGTTTTTGGACACAGTTCTAGCCGTTAATGGCTTTAGAAAGTCACTAAGCGTCTTTAAAAATACTCGGACCCCCTTCTTTTCTTGAGAGGTGTAGGACACCCCCTCCGATAGCCCCCCTTGTCAAGGTTCAAGAACCGCCAAATGCCTAGAACCTGCCACAAGTAAAGATAGTTTAGTCTTATTCTTTGAATAAAATGTACACTTATTCTTAGTAATGAATATTGTCACAAGAAAAATTTAAACTTAAAATACACATTAATAAAAATAAACAATTTGCAACATTATGGCCTGGCTGGGCACACAACGATTAAGTTCAGACACAAAACAAGTGCGTAGATGTTTATGACCCGATTCTAGATTTGAAAATAAAATAAGGCTATGATGCTCCAAAAATAGTAATTTATTAAGAGCCTCTTCATCAGGACAACTTAGTTCTACTCATATTTTGCCTCTATGATAGACATTTTTTTTTTTATGTTGGGTAGTAAAATAGTGCTATGTTCCTGAGCTTATTATTGAGTGCATTTAAAAAAAATCTTTATGGGTATATTACCTATTATCTTACTGGTATTTTTCACACTTCAGTTAGTAGATTAGAATTACTACTAAACCAACCCTTGTTTTCAATGTAGGAAAACATTTATCTCCGAGGACATTCACTGGCCCAATGGTTTGGCTATTGATAGGCCAGCCGACCGTCTTTACTGGACTGACGCTAAGAAGAAAACCATAGAGAGCATCCATTTGGACGGCTCCGACAGACAAATAATCCTTGGTGACCTTCCACATCCGTACGGATTGGTGATTGTTGGAAGGTAAATTATAATTGACTTTAGATACAAATATAGACATCTCATACTATTGTAAATCCTGAGGGATGTTTTGATGTGTGTTTCATGTCTGGTTAGAGTGTGCTGATGTTGACCACATTTAGTCTATTTACGGTAAATTTTACATTTCACGCTTTTCACTTACAGTACAAAAAAAAAAAAAAATTACTAGTTAACAAATAACTCGTTTTGTTTTGAAGTCAAATGATTTTTAAGCAACCAAAAATACATTCTACACAGTAGAACCTTCTTCACATAGTGGACAAAATTGTAACATAAAATATAAAAATTGTCTTCAGCTGTTCCATAAGAATGACATTATTACTAATTTATGGTCCTATACATACAATTAACTATGTATAGATTGTTTACTAAATGTATATCATATCATTATTTAATTAATTTTAATCTGTAGGCCTACAACTTATCATAACACAAATTTGGTAAATTGGTTATCATTGACCATACAATTTTTCATCAAATATCTCGTGTAAATTATGGCATGAAAATAAGTGCCCTATTTAAGTTGTCCATGTGAAAAAAATATTTTAATTGAGCTTCCAACGTAGGTTCCAAAATAAGTGCACTGCATTGTATTAATTTAATAGAAACTCTTAGAATATTTTATTTAGAGCTCTTTCCTGAAATCATATAATTTTGTACTAGGTTTACTATCATAGCTGATTAGCTGTATTCTAATTCAAAAAGTAATGTGATGTATTTTTAGTTTTTGGTCTGTGAGTTTCCATACTGCGGATTTTTGTTTACAGTTTCCAGGATTAGACAAAAATACAGTAATTTTTCAAGATCTGTAAGAAAAACTGTAGTGAATACTGAACAGGTAGTTAAAAAAAATCATGGTTAAAAAAAACAAAGTTAAAGACAAAACTTTGTTATGCCTAAATCCGAATGTTGTTATTTTCAGCACGTTTGCTGCTAATGTAAATGCTATGGTTGGTGAATTTGGAAATAGTCACTCTGAAAATTATAGAAATCGTAATATAAGATCAAACATTTTGGCTGAACAGTTGACTAAATTTTACAAAAGACTTAAATTTAGGAAAAACGTTTTGTAATTGGTTCTGTAAAACCTAAACAAGTCTTAGATATTTTAACTTCAGTATGAGTTTGACCAGGTAATGAAGTCCCACAATTGTCATGTTCCAGCCACATCTATTGGACGGACTGGGAGACAGAAGCACTGCACCGAGCAGACAAGAACAACGGTTCTGACCGCACTGTGATACGCAGTGATCTGCGTGGACTCATGGATATCCGCTCGATACAGGTCAGGTTCTATCTGCAGTAGGGAAACAGATTAGTTCTTCAGTTAGTGCACGATAGTGTTATCAATCATGAAATAACTTTGAATAAATTTATCTTATAAAAAGATAGGGCATTTGCCAGGAATTATTAAGGAAATAATTCCTTAATAAATAATACCAAACCTTAATCTAAGATAAACCCCATTCCTCACCTTCCATAGCAGGCTAGTGTATATAAAAAATGTTTAATATGTGTGTGTACATATGTGTAAATACAGAACAGTGTAAATATAGTGGATATTCATAATAAGTGAACACATTCATACATATGCAACAGTAAAAACAATTTTTGGTCTCTTCATCTGTGTTGGCAACCCTGACAAGGTGTAATAGATTCAAATTGCAACTGCCATTGCCATTTCTCCAATTAGTACAGTGCAACTAGCTTAAAAAAAGAGCAAACCGGGACATCCAAAAAAAAGTTTCAAACCAGTGCCAAATTGTTGAATACACTTCCCTCAATATGTAAAAAAAAGTTACACTTATTTGAGTGTCGGGTTTGGGGGGGAGGGGGTGAAAATGGGGTGAAAATAGGACTTTTTTTACTTTTTCGCAAATACCTCAAAAACAGTGCGTTTTTCTTAGAATATAATGAATTACAAAAATAATCTACATTAAATTTCAAACAAAATGATACCATACAATACCTATCTACTATGAACGGTTCAGGTAATATTGAGGGGTAAATGTGATTTTTTTCTTAAAATTCTAAAGAAGTTGTTTTTTAAATGGAGGAAACCCATGGACACCTATAAAAAAAGTTTCTAATGAGTGCCAAATTGTTCAATTAACCTCCCTTAATATGTATAAAAAAGTTACACGGATTTGAGTGTCGGATTTGGGAAGGAGGGTTAAAAGGAAAGGGGGGGGGGAATGGGACTTTTTTTGCTATTTTCCAAATATCTCGAAAACGGTGCGTTTTTCTTAAAATATAATGAATTACAAAAATAATCTATATTAAATTTCAAACAAGATGATGCCATACAATACCTATCTACCATGAACGTGTTAGGAGATATTGAGGGGTAAATGTGATTTTTCTTTTTAATTCTAAAAAGTTGTTTTTTAAATGCAGGAAAACCATGGATACCCATAAAAAAGTTTTTGTTCTTTGCATTTTCTCTATTAACTTACTCGTTTATGAGCTACAGGATGCGGAATGTACACAACAAGCCTTTTTCCATAAGTGTAACATGCTGTAACTCCTAAATGAGTAGCTTTTAAGAGAAAATGTCAAAATTAAAAATGTTTTTAACTTGGATTTATACCCATAAACAATCATAAACTACAGGGTGTTCCATAAGAAATAACAAAGTTGTCGGCCATATTGGAAAATGGCGAACATATTTTTAAAATTGGGAACCATTCCAAATCATCTAAAAAAATAAAGGGGAGTGTCCCATAAGAAGTCAACTAACTGCATAACCCATGATAAAAAAGTTAGCTATTGGTTCACTTTAGGTGAGACATCCTGTATACAGGGAGTCCTGTAAGTAAACAGCCAAACCCCAGGAAATGGTTCTATGGGTGAAAATAAAAAGAAAATCAAGAGTATTTTTTTCCAAAATGCTTCGTTAACCAGATATTTGCCATTTTGTTTTTTTCACAAAAACATTATTTCATCTCTGAATTTTTTAACCGATCATTAACAAACTTGGTATGTATGTTGAGGTAAAATAGACCCACGTTAGAAAAAAAATATCTTAATCCAATACAAATTTTAAAATGGCGGCCATTTAATTTTTTAAAATTGAAATTGCTAGAAATGGCTAATTTTATGAAAAAATGTCTGTAACACTTTTATTTAGCTTTTAAAATAATAAAAAATAAATAAATATTACGATTTTTATTTGTAAAATGAGGCAACCCTGAATAGCGTAGCCTTAATCACAATAATTTTACAACTAAAAATCGTTGTAACTTCAGTTATTTTTTATTCCATCTTCTTAAGAATTCAAACGGTAGAAAGATCACCGTGTTCCCGTATCTAGGTAGGTTTGTCTTTTTTAGGTAGGTAAGTCATATTTATTTATATTGTAGTTATATTTGTGATAAAATGGAAAATAAAAAGTGTTACTTAACAAAATTTACAAAATTACTTATGAATAAAATTCCCAACCCCGTTTTCACACCCTCCTACCAAAGACTAAAATGGAAAATAAAAAGTGTTACTTAACAAAATTTACAAAATTACTTATGAATAAAATTCCCAACCCCGTTTTCACACCCTCCTACCAAAGACCGGCACGAAAATCAGTGTAACTTTTTTACACATATTAAGGGAGGGTTATTGAACAATTTGGCACTCATTAGAAACTTTTTTTATGGGTGTCCATGGGTTTCCTCCATTTAAAAAACTACTTTTTTAGAATTTTAAGAAAAAAATCACATTTGCCCCTTAATATTACCTGAACCGTTCATAGTAGATAGGTATTGTATGGTATCATTTTGTTCGAAATTTAATGTAGATTATATTTGTAATTTGTTATATTTAGACAAAAACTCACCGTTTTTGAGGTATTTGCAAAAAAGTAAAAAAAGTCCCATCCACCCCCCCTTTTCTTTTAACCCTCCTTCCCAAATCCGACACTCAAATCCGTGTAACTTTTGTATACATATTAAGGGAGGTTTATTGAACAATTTGGCACTCATTAGAAACTTTTTTTATGGGTGTCCATGGGTTTCCTCCATTTAAAAAACAACTTTTTTAGAATTTTAAGAAAAAAATCACATTTACCCCTCAATATTACCTGAACCGTTCATAGTAGATAGGTATTGTATGGTATCATTTTGTTTGAAATTTAATGTAGATTATTTTTGTAATTCATTATATTCTAAGAAAAACGCACTGTTTTTGAGGTATTTGCGAAAAAGTAATTTTCACCCCATTTTCACCCCCTCCCCCCCAAACCCGACACTCAAATAAGTGTAACTTTTTTTACATATTGAGGGAAGTGTACTCAACAATTTGGCATTGGTTTGAAACCTTTTTTTTGGATGTCCCGGTTTAGGTCTAATTGCACCGTACTAAATCTCCAGTGGTTGAAAAAGTGGTCAGTGACCACGAAAATTTCTACTTTTAATTTTGTAATTTTGTGATGTTTTATGTGTCTCTATGGACTTATTTAAAGGTAAGCCTGTGAATAAATTTATGTATTTAAAATATTCCAGGGAAGAGTCCTGTGACTGCTTAAGAAGTTGTTTTGGAATAGAAGATTGTCTAAAGTCGAGGAACCCATAGGCATACTGTACAGTAAAAGATCCCAAACGATAACGCTGATATTTCATATCAATATAGGACTTCTGCAAAGAGTAGATTGAAGAAAAATTGATCTAGGCCTGCTTTCTATTTCTAATCTAGACTAGAGACTAGTAAAAAGGTTCTATTACTAAAAATACCTACTCAATGTTATGATTTTTTATTCCATTGTTGTAAGTTTTCTTCAATTAAGTTAGCTTAGTAATTTTAATTCTGGTTTGGATAGAACCATAGACAAAAAGAATTAAATATAGACCGACAGCATTGCTAAGGTTATCATATGTTCTGGCGTCTACCGCTAGGATTGCCGTGTAGTTACGGCACACACCTCTGCAGGGTCTGAGGAGCCAACGACAGCAACAAATCAAACACCGAGCACGCCCTAGCGGCACATCACGGAACCTTCCTTTGCCTGTCTATATTTTCATTCTATTTGTCTATGATAGAACTAATATTGTAAACTTATATCCTTCTCACCTGACGACACAGTCCAAAATAGTGCAAAAGGAAATGTTTTGCAGAGGTACAGAGTTCAGCTATATATCCTGAGAAAAATAGAGCCCAAGAGCTAGTGGATAAACTAATAAAATATCAAAAACAAATTACTCACTTGTTATCTACTATCTAAAGAAGTATTTATTAGGACAAAATATCAGTGTTCTGTTTGGCGTCCTGCGTGTCTGTTAGCCCCAGGACTCTATCAACAGTAATGTAAACTTAAAATGTCATAGTTAATTATTTTGTGTTGCGCAGACTGACAACGTAGCTGAAAACGCTTGCGGAGTTGACAACGGAGGCTGTTCACACCTGTGTCTGCGCTCCCCCACGGGTTACACCTGCGCCTGTCCCACGGGCGTGCTCATGTCAGTTGACGGCAGCACCTGCCAAACACAGCCTCGCGCCTACCTGCTGCTGGTCACTAAGAACAGTCTGGCTCGTGTCAGCTTCGACACTGACGACCGTGTCGACGTCACACTGCCTGTCACCGGCATCAGCAACGCCTTCGCTGTCGACTTCCATTGGAACAAGAGCCTCATCTTCTACTCGGACGTGGACCTACACGTGATCAGGTGAGATGTCTTGTGTTGTAATGAATAACCCAGGTATATCTATGAAATATAAGTTAGATAGATTAGTTATTTTCTAAAAAGGATACAAGTACAAAAGTAAACAAAAGTACAAAAGTATTATTGTGTCTAATAGAAACAAAACAATACCACAGAAATTATCTTTTCAAAGACTGTTCATCTGCGTGTGGGGAAAATCTTTGATGTTGTGCAATACTTCTCACTCGAGAAAAAAAACATTTAAATGTTGGATGGAAAATTATATTATAAACTTAACTTTGCTAAAATAAAACTTAACTTAATAAAACTTAAGAAAACTACACCAGAGAGAAGACTATCTTTTACATCAAATAGGCAGTAAAATAAATTAGGCACCAGTACTAAAGTCAAAGATCTTACAGTAAAAACAGGTGAAAAGAGTAAACACTATAGAACAGGTGTCCTATAGTAGGATCTAATAATGTTTTCTGCAGCGTGTCATCGCTCAGGCCAAGGAGCCACCGCCCCATTCTGATTAAAACTTTGACACTGTCCCCTCCCATTCTCTTATCTGATAAGGGAAGTTACAGTATATAATGTGGAATGTACTTTGCACATGGGGTAACATAAGGTACATAAAACATATACTATAGTTGGGAGTTGAATCATTGACTAAATCAATATTATAGCCACCTATTGTAGCCACTTTCAGGATAAAAATTTAAAATAAACTCGGTTGAATTGTACCACTGATGTCAAGTACTGATTTCTGTATACGCCACAAAAAACTGAAAGGGCAACTTATTGTAAACTATATGGCATCTTTTATGTTACATAAACTATCTTAGTAACAAAGACTAATGTTCACAGTAGCAGTAGCACACACATTTTGTCATAACGACCAAGGAAATCTACATTCTTCATACTTTGATTTGTTACAGGTCCGTTGACATGCTGAACCTCTCGCGCACAGCTGATGTGATCAGTACCAACCTAACAGCTCCGTATGGTCTGGCCGTGGACTGGCTGGCAGACAACATCTACTGGACAGACTACGGTCTGAGGACACTCCAGGTGGCTCGTCTTGACGGATCGTGTCGCAAAACTGTAGTTGGAACTGACCTAAACGAACCGAGATCTGTGGCAGTTTTTCCTCAGAGAGGGTAATTGTTGAATTCCATTCTACAATCAGAAATATTGGGTTGCAAAATGTGTAATTGAAACTCAAAGCTATGTATTTGTTATTTTAAATAGCCTCTTGATTAGCATTTCACATGCTGACGCTTTTCTCCAAACATTATGAAATGCATATTCCAACACTTATCAACGTATGTACACACCTATAATATAAAAATGTTGAGGATGGAAAGATGTATATTAGTGATAGATTGCAACCAGTCGCATCGGTAATCATTATAGGTTTTTGAAAGTTATCTGATGAGAATTAGGGGTGACGATCTTGGCTGTACTAGTGAATAAAGCGTGGGACTTTGGCCTCTGAGGCTTTGGTTCAAACCCCACCAATCACCAATGGATTTTATCTATGTGAAAATACATTGACTCAGTAGTTCAGAGAACATCTTAAGATGGAGGGATTTACTTCAAAATTATTTCAAGGTTACGTTGGCAGACTTTTTATTTAGAGGAGCTGATAGACATCCTGCTAAGCTCCCACTCCATTTACAGATTCTTGTTCTGGACGGATCTCGGAGAGGAGCCCAGGATCGAGCGGTCGATGATGGATGGATCCAAGAGGGAAGTCATCGTGAAGGACGACCTCGGCTTCCCGCAGGGACTCATCATCGATGCCCAAGAGCGAAAACTGTTCTGGGCAGACGCTGTTAGAGACTGTATTGAGATTGCCAACCTCAACGGCAAGGACCGAAGGAAACTGTTTCCTCTTGAGAATCATCCGTTTGGACTCGCACAGGTAACTTTATGTGGACTAATCTGCTATTTTTTTACTGTAGGGTTGTGTTACCGGTAATTGTTTATTACCAGTCACAATAATTTTTTAGCAGTACATATTCTCAATTAGAACGGTACATTCACAGTAATTGTATGGATTCTATATAAAGTTTTTATAATTGTTGAATCAGGGTACAACTTTCACTTTAAATATGTTAAACATAACTTATTATAATGAGGTTTTGTAAGAAGTTCAGCTAGCTCACCTGAGGAAATGTAAATAAAAGTCACACAACAGTTATAACCCTGATATTTTATTGGACTTCTTTATAAATTAGATTGTTTGATACATCTCATAAATCCATTATCTAAACAAGTTGTATAATAGGTCAAAAATAGCATATATTTTGTTTTGTTACTTTTTTTTAAATTTATAATACAATTCCAGTTTTCCCATGAAAATTCTCCATAAATTCATGAATTTCATGATTAATTTCATGAATTTTCATGAATCTTCTCCATAAAAAAATATTTAAAACCTTTTTAGCAACATATCACTATCTACAATTTATCTTGAAGTAATGTGGTTTCAAAACTATAAATCTGAGTGGACAAAATCTTAATCTTATTAATTCCAATGGTCCAATTAAAAGCACGTTTAAAATTTAGAAATTGTTATCTGTATTTTAGGCTGAATACTTAATCCCCTAATCAGTCTCATGGTATTTCCTTGAAGTATAACGTTGTTATGATGAATCTATCATATAATTTAACGTACATCCACCACATATTACCCATATAATGATGTTATCTTATTACCCTATTGATATGTGTGTTCAGGTTAAATTGCCTTCTTAACAAACAAAATGCAATTTTCTTTCAGTATGGAGACCACATTTATTGGACAAGCTTGTTGAAGAAGACAGTAGAAAGAGCAGAAAAGCTGACCGGTCGTAGACGCACAACTTTCCATACAGCCCTGCATGGTAAACAATTTCTTACAATATAAATCTTTAGTCAACATTTTTGGCTCACAGACAAATAAGGCTTTGATAAATCTCTTGGTTGAAACACAATATTGAATGTTGTTGGGGGTCTCAATTCTGGACTAGTTGTTCTTTGTTTTTAGGCTGTTGATTGATGCTTTCTAACAATAATTATTGACCATTAGTTAATTCAAAATTGGGAGCGAGCAGGTCTATCGGCAGAGTGTGGAACTTTGGTCCCCAAGGTTCCAGATATAAATTATAAATCCTTCCAATCACCAATGGAAGCATTAAATCTGCAACCCTCTAGGTCTACTCTGAATTAAAGTGAAACAGTTCCAGGCTGTAGCCTAGCGTCCTAGGGTGTGAAGGTAGGAAAAATTAAAGTATACAGAGAATCAAGGTTTTTGTTTCCTCGTCTTTAATAGATGAAACATTCCTCTGTCATGTGTGTATGACAACAAAAATAATTACTTGATATTCTTGGCATAAGGCAGAATGCTGATTGGAAGAAAGCAGGTTTGAAAAAAAATTATCAAAGCCATTTTATTCAAATGACTTCTTCTATTTAAATAATTTAAACACTAACTTTACAATTTTTTTTATTCTTACTGAACAGCTAACTCTTTTTACTCCTAGGAAGTTCTGAACACACCAATGTTTGAATTCATCAGTTATAACTTACAGCGAAAAAGGAGGGGAGCGAGTAGGTCTAGTGGCAGAGCACAGGATTTTGGTCCCTGAGGTCCTAGGTTCAAATCACGCCAATCACCAATGGGTTTTATCTAAGTGACAATGCCACACCGCAACCCACTAAGCCTGAAGTAATGTGGAAACGAATCCGAGCTAGAACCTGAAAAATAATAAGATCAAACCATTAATTATGTATTTTCAGGTGTGATGGAGATCAAGTTTGTTGCTGCTGACAAGCAGGCTGGCATCAACCCTTGCGCTGTAGACAACGGCTATTGCAGTCATCTGTGCTTCTATCTCGGCAGTGTGTCGTACACCTGCGGCTGCCCGGACGTACGGGACTCTCGCCCGTGTCGGACAGGTCTGTTGACGAGGGTATTAGTAGTGTTGGGTCATAAACCAAGATCAGATTTCCTTAGTCAGATTTAACTGACACTAAAACCTAGACTATTGAAAAACTTTGCTGCACAATTGAATATGAGCGTAAAGTAATAAAATAGTAACTTTTATCAGTTTGGGCTTAAAGTGACCATTTACGACACCTGTTCTAATTAAGTTTTTGTTTTTGAAACCAATCAGCTGAATCGCCAAAATTAAAATATGTAGAAAATGTTTCTATTTTATTAAAAAGTTGACTCTATTTTTCAACTCTTTATACAGTTATAGTAAAAAATTATAAATTCGCTAAATTACACTTTGAAATATGAGAAACCTCTGCTTAAAATATTCAGCACTCAATCTTCACAAAAATCCTATTTCTTAACTAATATAGCCATATTTTTATTCCCTAAAGAAATCTTACCACCCTCAAGAGTATTTAGGTTAGGGAAAGTAAATGAATTTTTAAACTAAATACTTGTGGCACTGTTCTTGTTAATTTTCATTCGGTACTTATTATTTGTTTTTTGTCTACGCCAGTGACATTTTTTTAGAAAGATTCACAAGCACTTTATTTAAAACTTACAAATCCCCTTAAACTTTTGTGGAATTGTAGGAATTGAAAAGTCCCTCTCGCATCGAAGTCTGAGATGCTAACCACTAGGATAGCAACACACCCTCTGTTAGGAATAAAGATGGATGATACATTTCATAGGGTGTATGTTCAATCTAAGATTGCAGCTTGTATTTTGTGTTGTAGAGCCAAGCAGCAGAGTAGAGTTGCCTCTGAGTGAGCTGGACATAGATGAGGAGTTGACTCAACCTACGACACAGCCAGCAGCTGAGGATGTCTCTAGACTGCTAGTGATTGGTGGGATGGCGCTTGGTATCATCGGCATCATCATCACACTCCTCATAACACTGTTTGTTTACCACAAGTGCGTATGGCTTATCTGTATTGCAGTCACTACATCTTGTTGACCTCTTTACTTCGGGTTGGGTAAAAAACATTGGCCTTGGCGTGTGAGTTTTGAGCTAAATTCAAATGTTTTGGAAAGTGTTGATTTGAATAAAACATCAATTGTAATATTACAATCGGATCATGCAGTATTGTATATTATCTCTCGACCTCGCAATGTAGGCAAAATCAAGAACATCTTCTGAAAAATTTTAAACATTTTCCAAGATCTTGTCAAAGTTAAGAACATCTTTTGCGGTCCCTGCAAAATCTGAATATCTTCCAAAGTCACAAATTAAACATCTTTTGCTGTCACAGAAAAATCTTTAACATCCTTCGCGGTCACAGCAAAATCCTGAATGTCTTCCACTAATGGCAAAATCAAGAACATCTTCTTATGACATAGTCTTAAATTTTCAATCAGGCATAATGGCAGACACTTTCTAATATCAAGAAAATGAAAGCTTGGCTCAAAAACAGAGCTGAAAACACTTGTTTTAACATCAATGACCCAACCCGAGTTTGGTTTGAATTGTTATTTCTGCCCTAAGCCGATTCGATTTAGGCCAAATGTGTGCCTCAGCCAACCCGAAAGTATCAGGGACCTGCAGACCCCCAATACCTTGTTACAACAGTGATTTTTAAAGAGATACTAATTAAATTAGAGCCAGATCATCCTGGTTTAGGAACATGGCCTTACTCATTGATACCAGTGATTTTTTGGTACCGAAATAAACACCCTATATATATGGACCAGATATAGCTATTTTTTTTTATCAAATAGTTGACTGGGCCACCCACAAATTGTGCTATGGTTGGACTTCTAATTTCTCCCTTTGTTGTTGATACGGCAAAAGATACTATAGCAGGTTATCCAAAAGTTTGGTTTTGGTGAAAGTTTTGCATATTTGACCAAAACCAGTTATAATTGACATTAGCCCTTATAATATTTTAGACCAATATTCTGCTAGTATTTCAATATTTCAAATAAAAATTCAGCTTTCTGAAGGATTGCAACACTCTAACACTCACAATATACTTTTGTGTTGTAGACGCAGGAGAAGATCCAAGAAGTACCTGTACACTGACGGCAGTCGAAGCGTTCTCACCTTCTCCAACCCAAACTACAGCAGTGCGGGAGCCGAGCCCTCAGAAAAGGGATCTCGCTTCTGGCGCAAACTGAAATACGACAAGTCTCAGGTTAGTTAACCTTCCTTTCAGTTATGTCACTAATTTGTTTATAAAAAGTTATAAATATTAGCATTTATCGAGTAAGTGTAATTACCATATCTCTGTGGCCAACTGGTATGTGTAATTTGTGTTAAAAATGGTATTTGTAGATACATCAGTCCCTTCATTTGAAAGGCAAGTCTAGCTTTCCAATCTGTGGTAGCACTGCTTGAACCCTTCATCTGGGTTGTAAAATCAATCTAATAACACATGGTACTTATGTATGGTATCGGTAGGTGCTCAAGATATGACTTATTGCATGAGCTTAGTTACACTGTCTCAAAAAACTTGATTTGAGACCAGTATCTATCTGAAATTCCGGAAGCCTTCATGAATATTTCTATTGCCCCTTGTGTAAACTGTAAAATAAAGTAATTATGGGAGCAGCAATTTTCATGGGTGATTGTAGGTCTAGCTACTAAAATGTACTGTTGTGTCTAGGAGAGAGTGTATGATGTACACAGTGAGTCAGACAAACAGACAGCCAGTCCTGAGGTAGTGTCTCTGATCCCTGCGCCTCCCTCACCAGTCACACACTGTGTGGTCGACCATCATGTACCATGGTCTAGCTACTAACATGTACTGTTGTGTCTAGGAGAGAGTGTATGATGTACACAGTGAGTCAGACAAACAGACAGCCAGTCCTGAGGTAGTGTCTCTGATCCCTGCGCCTCCCTCACCAGTCACACACTGTGTGGTCGACCATCATGTACCATGGTCTAGCTACTAACATGTACTGTTGTGTCTAGGAGAGAGTGTATGATGTACACAGTGAGTCAGACAAACAGACAGCCAGTCCTGAGGTAGTGTCTCTGATCCCTGCGCCTCCCTCACCAGTCACACACTGTGTGGTCGACCATCATGTACCATGGTCTAGCTACTAACATGTACTGTTGTGTCTAGGAGAGAGTGTATGATGTACACAGTGAGTCAGACAAACAGACAGCCAGTCCTGAGGTAGTGTCTCTGATCCCTGCGCCTCCCTCACCAGTCACACACTGTGTGGTCGACCATCACCTACGATGGTCTAGCTACTAACATGTACTGTTGTGTCTAGGAGAGAGTGTATGATGTACACAGTGAGTCAGACAAACAGACAGCCAGTCCTGAGGTAGTGTCTCTGATCCCTGCGCCTCCCTCACCAGTCACACACTGTGTGGTCGACCATCATGTACCATGGTCTAGCTACTAACATGTAGGCCTACTGTTGTGTCTAGGAGAGAGTGTATGATGTACACAGTGAGTCAGACAAACAGACAGCCAGTCCTGAGGTAGTGTCTCTGATCCCTGCGCCTCCCTCACCAGTCACACACTGTGTGGTCGACCATCACCTACGATGGTCTAGCTACTAACATGTACTGTTGTGTCTAGGAGAGAGTGTATGATGTACACAGTGAGTCAGACAAACAGACAGCCAGTCCTGAGGTAGTGTCTCTGATCCCTGCGCCTCCCTCACCAGTCACACACTGTGTGGTCGACCATCATGTACCATGGTCTAGCTACTAACATGTACTGTTGTGTCTAGGAGAGAGTGTATGATGTACACAGTGAGTCAGACAAACAGACAGCCAGTCCTGAGGTAGTGTCTCTGATCCCTGCGCCTCCCTCACCAGTCACACACTGTGTGGTCGACCATCATGTACCATGGTCTAGCTACTAACATGTACTGTTGTGTCTAGGAGAGAGTGTATGATGTACACAGTGAGTCAGACAAACAGACAGCCAGTCCTGAGGTAGTGTCTCTGATCCCTGCGCCTCCCTCACCAGTCACACACTGTGTGGTCGACCATCACCTACGATGGTCTAGCTACTAACATGTACTGTTGTGTCTAGGAGAGAGTGTATGATGTACACAGTGAGTCAGACAAACAGACAGCCAGTCCTGAGGTAGTGTCTCTGATCCCTGCGCCTCCCTCACCAGTCACACACTGTGTGGTCGACCATCATGTACCATGGTCTAGCTACTAACATGTACTGTTGTGTCTAGGAGAGAGTGTATGATGTACACAGTGAGTCAGACAAACAGACAGCCAGTCCTGAGGTAGTGTCTCTGATCCCTGCGCCTCCCTCACCAGTCACACACTGTGTGGTCGACCATCACCTACGATGGTCTAGCTACTAACATGTACTGTTGTGTCTAGGAGAGAGTGTATGATGTACACAGTGAGTCAGACAAACAGACAGCCAGTCCTGAGGTAGTGTCTCTGATCCCTGCGCCTCCCTCACCAGTCACACACTGTGTGGTCGACCATCATGTACCATGGTCTAGCTACTAACATGTACTGTTGTGTCTAGGAGAGAGTGTATGATGTACACAGTGAGTCAGACAAACAGACAGCCAGTCCTGAGGTAGTGTCTCTGATCCCTGCGCCTCCCTCACCAGTCACACACTGTGTGGTCGACCATCATGTACCATGGTCTAGCTACTAACATGTACTGTTGTGTCTAGGAGAGAGTGTATGATGTACACAGTGAGTCAGACAAACAGACAGCCAGTCCTGAGGTAGTGTCTCTGATCCCTGCGCCTCCCTCACCAGTCACACACTGTGTGGTCGACCATCACCTACGATGGTCTAGCTACTAACATGTACTGTTGTGTTCAATTCAATTCAATTCAATTCAAACAATTTTATTCATGCAATTTTTAAATTAAATACATAATCCCATGTGCCATGCAAAGCACGCGCGGGATGAAAAACACATTTTTATTACTGTAATACATTTCATTTTCTGGCAGCAAACAGTTCATTTTTTTCTTCTTTGTCACTTTACAGAACAGTGAGTAGACATTTCCTATTGCAACAGTTTTAATCATATAAATAACACTTATGTTATAAATAAACAATTTAGAATAAGTTAATAAGAACACGGTTTTTAGAAAGACAATAATTCTACATGCAAATATAAATAGTTATTTATCTAAAACAATGCTAAAAATAAGTTACAGATTATTTATGCTATATTATGATTGATAGAAAACAACAAAGCTTTTGACTTTATCACAGACCTTTTATCATAATAAACTTCATTACCAAACATTTTTACAAATGCATTAAAAAATTTTGGACCAAGACAACAAAACTGATGCCTACTAGTTTCCTTTTTAAAAAAGCTTTCTGCTAACAAGTAATATTGTGCTGATCGAGATATTCTATTGACAGGTTTCATTTTAAACATGTACGGATATTTAAAAACAAACATAATCAAACAGTATACGTGCAATTGATTGAAGGTTAAAAGGTTTTCTTGTTCAAAAAGATAACTAACTCTATCATATTTTTTTAATCCAAAAACTGTCCTCAGTGCATGTCTTTGGTTCGTAATGACAGGTTGTAATATGGTAGGATAAGTACCCCCATAGTGTACTATTCCATATCTCATCACACTTTCAAACCAGGAGATGTATACCTTTTTTAAATGCTCACTCCTAATGTTGTCTCTTAAGTGATATAAAGCATAATTTATTTTCCTTAATTTAATTGAGAGTTGTTTTACATGCTGCTCCCACTTTAAATGATGATCAACAAACAATCCTAGATATTTAACATATTCTACTACTTCAATACAACTGCAAGAACAATTATACAAACAAGAGTGTTTATGGCACAATAAATTAAATTCATTTTGTAAATTTTCTCGAGATTGATTATAATCAAAGAAAAATAAACATTTAGACTTTAAGGAGTTTATTAACAATCTGTTTTCAATTAGCCAATTTGATATCTTGTCTAAATCTTTTCTTATTTTTAGTTTCAGCGACTCTTTATTGAAAGCTGAGCACACAAGAGCTGTGTCATCAGCATAGGCAAATATTTTTGAATATAAATCAAGCTCCAGCAAGTCGTTTATATATATCAAAAAAATAATGGGGCCCAAAACCCCTCCTTGAGGGGTGCCAAATTGCAAATCAAGCACTTCACTCAAAACATTATTAACTTTCACAGCCTGCTTTCTTCCTTTACAAAAAGATTGCAACCACTCTAAAGCTCTACCACCTATACCATATTTTCTAAATTTTGAAAACAGCACATTGTGATCCAAAACATCGAATGCTTTTTGAAAATCTAAATACAAAGACAATGTATATTTACGTTTGTCAATGGCATCAGTGATAGTACTGACATGTCTTTCTAAAGCAAGATCAGTGCCTTTACCTGGCAAAAACCCATATTGATTTTGAGAGAAAAGAGATCTACTAGAAAAATATTCCATGAGCCTCTTTTTAACCAAAGTCTCAAAAACTTTAGCTACAGTACTTATAACGGAGATAGGCCTGTATGATGAAATTTTAGATAAACTTCCAGACTTATGAATCGGTACTACCGATGCTATCTTAAACCTGTCTGGGTAGACACCTTGATCCAAGGAAATTCTAATTATTTTACATAACAATGGGGTGAATACATCTAAGTTATCCTTAATTATAAAAATATTAATACCATCTATCCCAGCACTAGCCTTATTTTTTAAAGATTTAACTATATCTACAATGTCTGACTCAATAAATACAAAATCTCTAATAAAAATATCATAAGTACTATAATCTTCCACAAACATATCACAGCCAAAGTTCTCATGCTTTAATTCAGGTACAATTTGTGTAAAATATTCATTAAATTTATTTGCAATAACTTTCTCACTGCCACTACATTCAATAAGGACATCATCTATCTCAAAACTAGATAAATTACTTTTATTACTTCTAGGAGAGAGTGTATGATGTACACAGTGAGTCAGACAAACAGACAGCCAGTCCTGAGGTAGTGTCTCTGATCCCTGCGCCTCCCTCACCAGTCACACACTGTGTGGTCGACCATCATGTACCATGGTCTAGCTACTAACATGTACTGTTGTGTCTAGGAGAGAGTGTATGATGTACACAGTGAGTCAGACAAACAGACAGCCAGTCCTGCGGTAGTGTCTCTGATCCCTGCGCCTCCCTCACCAGTCACACACTGTGTGGTCGACCATCATGTACCATGGTCTAGCTACTAACATGTACTGTTGTGTCTAGGAGAGAGTGTATGATGTACACAGTGAGTCAGACAAACAGACAGCCAGTCCTGAGGTAGTGTCTCTGATCCCTGCGCCTCCCTCACCAGTCACACACTGTGTGGTCGACCATCATGTACCATGGTCTAGCTACTAACATGTACTGTTGTGTCTAGGAGAGAGTGTATGATGTACACAGTGAGTCAGACAAACAGACAGCCAGTCCTGCGGTAGTGTCTCTGATCCCTGCGCCTCCCTCACCAGTCACACACTGTGTGGTCGACCATCATGTACCATGGTCTAGCTACTAACATGTACTGTTGTGTCTAGGAGAGAGTGTATGATGTACACAGTGAGTCAGACAAACAGACAGCCAGTCCTGAGGTAGTGTCTCTGATCCCTGCGCCTCCCTCACCAGTCACACACTGTGTGGTCGACCATCATGTACCATGGTCTAGCTACTAACATGTACTGTTGTGTCTAGGAGAGAGTGTATGATGTACACAGTGAGTCAGACAAACAGACAGCCAGTCCTGAGGTAGTGTCTCTGATCCCTGCGCCTCCCTCACCAGTCACACACTGTGTGGTCGACCATCATGTACCATGGTCTAGCTACTAACATGTACTGTTGTGTCTAGGAGAGAGTGTATGATGTACACAGTGAGTCAGACAAACAGACAGCCAGTCCTGAGGTAGTGTCTCTGATCCCTGCGCCTCCCTCACCAGTCACACACTGTGTGGTCGACCATCATGTACCTGCACCATCACCTTCCAACTGAACCTTCCACGGTCAAGCCTCTCACTAAAACAATTGATGAATCTCTCTGAGACTGAACGTAAGATTGACATTTTCTTCCTTTGAGTAATGTGGCAATACTGAT